CGAGGGATGGGCGCCTCCCGGCCACGCGTGCGGCGCTCCGTGCGCGCCGGGCCGCTGCAGGGGCGATTCCCGCGCCCTGCCTCGGAGGCGGGGAGCGGCGCCGGCGGGACGGGCCCGGAGAGGCGCAGGGCTGGGAATGCCGCATCGCCCCCCGAGGAAAAGCGGCGGGCGGGCGGGGGGGGGGGGCGCGCGCGCGCGCCGGGCTTCTCCCCTTCCCGGGGGCCCGGCGGCATGCACGGCGCCCGAGCCTCCCGGGCGCCGCGGCTGGTCCCTGGCGACTTGACGGGCGCGCCTCCAGCGCCGTCGGGCGTCCCTGGCTGCCGGCGACGGAGCGTCCAATTCGGAGCGGGCGGCCCGAGACTGACGGCGGCCTCTGCCAATGCGTGCCATTGCTCCGGGCCCGGCGCTGCTGGGCGGAGAGGGGAGGACGGCGCGCCGGGCGGGCGCTGTCGCCGCTGCCAGACAGCCAGGCGCGCCCGCGGCGGCTTGGGGAGTCGGGGGGCCGCCCCGAGGCCGCGTGCCTGTGGCAGCGCGGCGCCCCGCGCGTGCGGCGGGGGCTGGAGCGCGGCTGCAGCGCCGCCCGGCCGTCGGAGCCCATCTCGGGCGGCCCTGTGCGGCGTCGAGGGCGGCTGCGGGGCAGAGGGGAGGGCGATGAGCCCCCGCCACGGCCTCCCCCGCAGGAAGCAGCAGGCACCGCTGCCCGGTCGCCGCTTCCTGCACCCCTCGCGTGCGCTCGAGCTGACAGCCCGGTGAGACGCGTTCTCTCCGGCCGCGTTTGGCGCGGGGGAGCAGCTGTGCCCCCGTCTCCGGGGCGGGCGGGCGGACGGTCGGTCGGGTCCCCCTGCAAGCAGACGTGTCACCTGGTGGGGCGCTGCACTGTAGGCCTCCCACGAGGTTCGGACTCAGTCTCTCCACAGGCTGGAGTTCCCGCCTGACCTCTGGCCAGTCCGACCTCAGAGCCTAGCCTCCCCCAGAGGGTTGTGGGGGCGGGTTGAGGGGGGTTGTGCGCACCCCTTGATCTGCTTGGAAGAAGAGCTGGATGCAGCTGTGATGAATAAGAAACAACCGCCCAACCAGCCCGCTAACTGTGCAGTAAATGTTTTGTCGGAGCCGGTAACCAGCGCCTTACCTGCTGTGCAAGTGCGAAGAGCCAAACCGGGAGAAAAGTCCGAGCCTGAGGGGTCTGCCTGGGAGCAGAAAGGGTGGGCCCCATGTTCTGGCTGGGGATCAGAGCTGCTCATGCTCCGCTGGCGTGGCCTGAACTTGCTGGGCAGCCAGCGTGGCACCTGTCAGTGGGAAACCACACCCCGAATAGCGCCCACATCGCCCCATGGACTAGCTGTTGTTCACGAGTTGCCTGGGGGTCAGGAGGGACACGCTTCCCTTCCAGCTGCAGATGCCTCAGCATCTGTGTCGGCCGGGTGGCCCCTGCCTGGCTTGGCGCAGAGCGAAGTGGGTGCAAGGCACCCCAATCTGACGCCCTCCTCGATGTGCCGGGCAGCAGCTCCCAGCTGCCCGCACATCCGGAGGGCACTGCTTTGGGCAGGGCGGTCCCCGACGCGGGTTTCCACGGCAGTGAGCACAGCGCTCGTTCTCGCGTTCCCGCCTGGGGGAGGCAGGGCACGGCCCACGCGACTTCTGCCGGCTGGACTGTCTGCTTCTGGCAAGGGCTGCTGGCGCTGCCCCAGGTCTGCGTGGACACGCCCTGCTTGGAAAGGGGGCGTGGCATTTCTTGGATGCTGCCTGCCCTGGCTGGAGGGCCACAGCTCATGTGGAGGAGTGGCAGGAAGAGCCTTTACTGGAGATCTTCCTGTGGACCAGAGTCGCATGTGACTTCTCAAAAGCACTCCTGAAGGATCTCAGGGTTTAGTTATGTCTTTCTAGCCTCTTGTTTCCTTTCAAGGAATTTGAGGCCGCTTACAACAACAGCCCTGTGTGATAGATTGGCCTGAAGGTCTAGGACTGCCCACAGCCACCCAGTTGGCTCCATGACTGAGTGGGGACTAGAACCCAGCTATCCCAAGTCCCAGTAGAAACACAAAAGCAGAGTGAGTCAGAAGGGGTCTCCTGGGCCATCTAGTCTGACCCCGGCTCCAGCGGCTCTGCTCATGTGGTTGTCCAATCTTTTCTTGAACACTCTCCCTGATGGGGCCTCAACCACCCCCGTGGAAGCCCATTCCAGTCCCGCAGCTGTAACCACTACTCCACACTGGCTCTCCGCTTCAAGCTGCAGTGGCCTCAGTTTAAACCACACATGCCATGGAGACCCAGGATGAGTTTCCCAGTGTTCTTTTAGTCCTTGCCCCCCCCCCCCCCCCCGCATCTCCTCAGCCCTGGTCTGAACCTCCAGTGTGGACGTCTCCAACCTGAGGCCTTCCTGATGTTTTGGGTGAACTGCCCATCAGCCCCAGTTAGCATGGCCAAGGGGGAGGCCAGCTGGGATCGCTCATCCAGAGTGTCTGGAAGCGGGGGCTGGGTGGGCTGCTGTACCCCACGAACCCCCTGGTCACACTGTTCTGCTTTACTAGCATGGCAAGGAGTGGGCGAGGAGCAAATTTGGAGTGTGGCTGGAGGTCCACTTGCCTCTTTCCCATGGGCTATTTTTCTGCTCAGATTTGCGCCTGAAGCTGTTTTCCCATCTTGAGATGTCCTTTCCTCATCTTTCCTCTACAAGGAGAGAAACCGCGCTGCGAAAAATTCACAGGAAAGGTTAAGCTCCCTCCTGCTGCTGCTACATTCAGCTTGGCATTTGCCTCCTGTGGCTACATGAAAGTGAAACAAAGACAGCCTCAAAGGAGAGAGATTCTTGGAACTGCCGCCCACTGCCCCAGTGACTCCAGGTATTTCAGAGAGAGAACCCGCCTGAGTCCCCGGGGAGCCGCTGCCTGTCGGTGTAGACATGGTTTCCCGAGCATGACGCCCTTGAGATACTTTGGCCATTGACTTCTGTCGGCCCCAGTTAGCCTGGCTGATGGTCCTGAACGCTGGGAGGCCCACAGGCGGGGAAGGCCGGTGTAGACAGGCCTAAGCTAGATGGGCCCATGGTGGAGTTGGTACGAGGTGGCCTCCTGTGCCCTTACTGAAATCAGCACTGGATCTGGAACCATGAAGACTGGAGACTTGGGCTCCTTTTAGCGGGAGGGCCCCAGCCCAGTGTTTGAGTCCCTGCGTTGCCTCCAGAGCTGCCCAGGTCTGGTTCCTGGCGTCTTGGTCAAAGTGAAGCCAGTGGTCTGGCCTTGGTTGGAGACGCCTTCCTGTGCTCACCTGTCACGCAGGTCTCACCTGATGTGGCCCTCACTCCCCCGTGCGCTTGCCTGAGGGCAGCTTGCTGCTGCCGGTCTGCGGGCACGTGAGCGCCGTACCACCTCACTTTGTATTGGTGTCTTGCAATGTACCCCCGTCCTAAAACTCTTGCGGCTGGGTTTTGTATGCCGAAAATAGAGACAATTTGTTCTCTTTTGTAGAGTAACACAACCCAGTCTTAGAATGGAGATTTCTTCCCACCAGTTCCATCTCCTACAGCAGTTAAACGAGCAGCGCAGGCAAGACTTATTCTGTGACTGCAGCATTTTGGTGGAGGGGAAGGTCTTCAAAGCCCACCGCAATGTGCTGTTCGCTAGTAGCGGCTATTTCAAAATGCTTCTTTCCCAGTGCTCGAAGGAACCCAGCCAGCCCACCACGGCTACCTTCCAGGCATTTTCTCCAGAAACGTTTTCGGTGATTCTGGATTTTGTGTATTCAGGCAAACTCTCTCTCACGGGACAGAATGTGATCGAGGTCATGTCAGCTGCCAGCTATCTGCAGATGACGGACGTAATTAGTGTTTGCAAGACGTTCATCAAATCTTCCCTGGACATTAGTGAGAAGGAAAAAGACCGCTATTTTAGTCTCTCGGACAAGGAGGTGAACTCGAATGGGGTGGAGAGCTTGTGCATCTACGGCGCTGGGTGGAGAGCTGACGGCAGCCCGCCCCATCCACACTTGAGCCCCGACCAAGGCACGTGCATGGTGAGCGGAAACTCGTGGACCAGTTTCGGTTACTACCCAGCCAGCCAGCGCAGTGCCCAGCAGCTGTCCAAGCATGACCAACGGCAAGAGCCCCCGGCGAAGACGGGCAGGCACCGGGGGCTGCCGCAGCCACCGGATGGCCCGCACTACAAGTCCAGCAAGCTCGAGGACCGGACCTCGGAGCCGGCCGGCCATGCCACGCCCTCTGAAGAAGATGTCCAGATCGACTCGGAGGGTGATTCTGGCCATGGGAGCTACCAGTACGGCCAGGGATCTGACCCGGTCCCGAGAGGTGTGTCCGTCTCACAGCAGGAACACGACTCCTCACATTCCGCTGGCAAGCCGAAATCTTCCAAAGGGAATGAGCCGTACGCTAGCATGTCCTCCGTTCTGGGTGTCATGGGGAGCTGGGCTGATGGTAAGGAAAATAGCTCAATCACTTACTGACTCTTCATGTTACATTTTTCTAACTGTTTAATCCTATCACTTCCTACCAGTTGTGAACTAAAAAGCAGGACGTAGGAACTTCTGGCTCACAGTTTTTCACGGGAAGTGAATACTCTGGTGACTACAGGAATAGGTTTTACTGAGCACCACAATGCGCTTTGAGCTTGTAGCTCTACTGTAGATGGTGGGGGTGAATAAATTATTGTTTTTAAATTATCCCATATGCTTATATGTCACTGGATATATCTAAAATACCTCTAAGTGACTTCCAAGAATTGCTGCTAAATTTCGGCAGTGGAGAGTGGCAGCAAGAAACCCCACATTTAAAGCGCATGAGAGCTGCTTGTGGGGGAAGCTTCTGTGCTCTTGCATCAAAGTGGGGCAGGTGCTTCCCACATGTGTCCTTTTCGACTGCCAGAGTGTGGCCAGCAGTGGTGGCCTTCTGGGGAAGGGCAGAATGGCCCCCAGGCCCTCCAGAGTTACCTATGTCTGACCTAAGCTTTCCGGGGCATTGTCTACTTCATCAGATGCAGAATATGCTTCAAAAGTTGCATTTTCGCTTTCTTGTTCTACCGAAGAGGGAGTTGCATGTGTAGCAGCTTGCAAACTTCTAATTCTTTTTTGAGTAGGTGAAAATGGAGCTCAACTTGAAACACTGTGGAGCTGCGGGCTGGTCAAACCTGCGGCCTGCACGGATGCAGCCAGCCACTTGGGCCTGGTCTGGTGCTGCACATGGTGGGCCCAGGCTTTTGCTGCCCAGGGCAGTGCCCAGGGAGCAACCCAGCCAGCCCCTCTAGGGCAGGATGCTGTAAGGCGCTGCCCTGCCCTGCCCTGCCCTGCCGAGGCGCCCTCTGCTGCCCTTGCCCCCCCCACACACACACACACGCTACCTGCCTGGCCAGTGGCACTCTGCGTTCTCAGCAGTGCCTTGCGTGGCCACGCATTGCCTGGAATAACACACGTTTGCTGTAATTATGCATGGTGCATTCATGTTAAACAACTGATGTAGGGAAACACTCTGGTGGACTTTATTTTTCTCATCCTGTTTTCTGAGTGAGAAGCAACACTAGAGAAAACAGCTTCTGTAATAATCGAAAATGGCATAAGGTGTGAGCCCCCCAGGATGAGGCTTTTGCCAGTTATTCATGTAACAGATCCAGGTGTGCTCCAGATATGCCGGACTACAATTGCCACCATCCCACTGTTGCTAATGGGAATTGCAGTCCAGTCCAGAAGGCACCCAGCCAGGGAAGCTGCTCACTGCAGACCTGTTTCGTGTCCTTAACGAGAGCCAGGCTGGGGCCCACAGGCCTGCCTTGCTAGCCAGTGGCCACTCATTGCAGCCACTGGCTCCTCCCCCTCCAGAGCCCTCTGCTTGTAGGGCAGGACTGGGGAGAGGGTGCGTTTTGCTGCTCATTCCTGTAGGGTGTTTGGTAGAAACAGGTCTCTGTTCCACGGTGCCTGAAAGGGGAGTCAGACTGGCTTTTAGCCTTTTCCAAAGCACTGCAGGTGAGAACCGAGGCTTGCCCTCCTGCCCCAGCATCTGCACCGGGGATGCCCGTCGAAGGCCTTGCTGCCCTGCTGAGGTGTCCAGTCCACCCTAGCCGGGCCCCCGAAATCCCGCTGCCTGAAGCAGCTCGCGTTACCGTGCCACGCGGGAGGCTCGCTTGGCGGTGTCCGTCCCGCGTGAGCTGGTGCGGGGCTCGCCAGGCCCTGCAGCCGCGCCGCGTGGTTCCCGGCCTGCCCTGTGCAGGAGCTCTGAGTGCAGAGTCCCGCATCTGCAAGTGCCGGGGCTCAGAACACGCAGTCCGAGGCACGCCTCGGCGCCCTGGTGGGGGCATGCCGGGAGCCGCCGGGGCGTCTGCTTCCTCGGAGGGCGCCCCTCAGGTCTCCGCGGCTGCAGATGGGCTTCCAGGTGTGGAGGCCTCATGACCCAGAGAGAGTGTGTGTGTCGAGGGGAAGGGTCCCTCTTTGGGAGGCTTTCCTCTGGCCAGGAGGGGGGACAAGGCCTCCGACTCTTGCACAGTTCGATACAGTTCAGTGTAACTTATGTCAGCGAACCCAGGCAAAACAAGCGGACGCAGGTGCAGATGTGTGTAATCCATGGAATTCACACATATTGCAGAATATACAGTAAATATACTTAAAACAAACAAAGGCAGCGTTCACAGCGGGGCAAAGTTGCTTGCTTTCTATTGACAACATCCTGCTGGGAGTGCTACGGTTCTGCCACATTTTAAAAGGACTGCTCGTGTTTGCAGACGATCTGCCCAGGATGAGATTCAAGTGCCCGTTTTGCACTCACGTGGTGAAACGGAAGGCAGACCTGAAGCGCCACCTGCGCTGCCACACCGGAGAGCGGCCGTATCCGTGCGAGGCGTGTGGCAAGAGGTTCAGCCGGCTCGATCACCTGAGCAGCCATTTTCGAACAGTATGTATTTTCAGACCAGTGGGTTTTTCTGTCAGATCCTCATTAACCAAGTAGGGCAGTGGTCCCAACCTTCTGGGACACAGGGGCTGCATTAGAGTTCCCAGAGCCTGAAGAGGGCCACACCTTAAATCAAAATGTAAGAAAATCGTTAACCTACCAATTTGGATCAAAAGTAAACATGCAGAGGTGAATGAAGAAATATTGACTTGAATGCAGTGCATTTGGAGCAATATTTTACTCTGGAATCCCTTTATCCAGCTACACAGGCTTACCTAGTCAGTGTGATTTTTCTGGCTGCTTTCTGTTAGTGAAGGCATTCATGTCCAAGTCAAGGTTTGTGACAGACACCATGTAAATGTTCCTCTGTAAGCCTTGACCTGCACTTGAATGTCACCATTTTCATCTTGGGAAATGTTTGTTCGCAGATGTATGTGGTGCCAAAGCTTGTGCGTGTGCATGCAGCAGTCGTCTCCAGGCTGATAAGTACACCAGGTAGACCACATCTGAAAGCTAACAGACTGTTTTCTTTGTAAACGTCTCTGAGATGACCACTGGTTTGCAAATCAGGTAGTTCCATCTGAAAAAAGTTACTTTCATCTTCTGCTGTTAGTTGAAACACGTTCTGAAACAGTTGTACTTCCTCTCCATGCTTCTGGCAATCCGTGACTCTGTTCTGGAATTCCACCTGCAGGAGGGTCAGTGCTTTGATGTGGCTTTCAACCCTGAATTGTAAATTCCCGTCCTTCTCAAATTTTAGTTCATTGCAGCATGAGAAGTTTGAAAAGATACTTTCACTAACTTGCTTCACAAAAATGTTTGCTCCAAAGCTTTCAGTTCAGAAAACATGTCACACACAAGCTTTCCTTTCCCCTGCAATGTTAGATTCAACATGTTCAGATGTTGCCATCAGTTAAGAAAGCCAAATCAAACATTCGTCCAGGAATCTTACATTCCAGGTTCCTATGGAGTATAGATCTTTGCAGCATCGGACTCTCCTTTCACCACCAGTTACATCTGCAACTGAGTGTCCTTTCGGCTTTGACCCAGTTGCTCCATTCTTTCTGGCGCTACTAGTATTAGCCCTCTGCTCTTCCCCAGTAGCATATTGGACACCTTCCAACCTGAGGGGCTCATCTTCCGGCCTTTTGGTGCTGTCCATGGGGTTTTCATGGCAAAGATACTGGAGTGGGTTGCCATTTCCTCCTCCACTGGATCACGTTTTGTCAGAGCTCTCTGCTATGACCTGTCCGTCTTGGGTGGCCTGCACGGCAGAGCTCACAGCTTCATTGAGCTACGCCAGCCCCTTCCCCACGGCAAGGCAGTGATCCATGAAGAGGGTGGAAGGGTCTTTAAATAAAACAATAAAAAGGGGCATGATCCAGCTTCACTGAAGCACTCTGAAATGCTTTTAATTTTAATGGGAACATTGACCAGAGACTTAAATATTGCCTACTTGGATAAATGGAACATCAGAGTGATTAATTTTGGTTGGCTTGTGCTCTGTATTATTTCAGCAGAAATTCTAGATTGCCTCATCCTGGGTTTTAAGGGCAGATGGTCCTACATTTTCAGCTGGAAACAAAACTAGAAGTAAAATGCCTAGTAACATAATAAAATATAATTAAAATTACTCTGAAAAGTATTGTGCCAGTCTAACTTCCCACTTGACTTAATCTAAGCAACCACTTCCACATAATTAAGATGTCTGGGAAGTTGTGGGTCATACAGTCAGACCATCTTCTATGGAATTCATGGCCTTTTGCAACAGAAGCTTGAGAGGGACTATTGAAATTTGTATTTTTTTTAAGTGTAAGTTAAGGGGCAACTCACACCATAAAGCAGTAAGCAGTAAACCTCCAGCTTCCTTTCCTTTGAGCGATCCATGGTGTAAGTGATTCTTCAGTGTATCTGGTTTAATACGGTGCCTTCTTAGCGTGTAGAAACACTCTTTGGATGCCCACCATAAAGAGCTGTTGGAAGGGCTTGCGTGGCGTTCCCATAGCGGCGTGGCTCAGCTTTTCTTCACAACCGTAAAGGTAGCTTTCCCCTGCATGTGCCAAATGCACACCTGCCTAGATGCACAGGCTGCCTTTGTGCTGTTCCTTTCGCACAACCCTCATCCCGCTCCATCTCCCCAGATCCACCAGGCCTGCAAGCCCATCTGCCGGAAGTGCAAGCGCCACGTGACTGAAATGACCGGGCAGGTGGTCCAGGAAGGGACCCGGCGGTACAGGCTTTGCAATGAGTGTCTCTCCGAGGCAGGCATAGACAGCATCCGCATCGATCTGGACACGGAGCCGCCCCCTGAATTCCCACTGGACGAGGACAAGGATTCCAGTTGGAACTATGGCGAAGACAACAGATCTGATGTGGAAATTGTAGAGGACGGTTCGACAGATCTGGTCATCCAGCAAGTAGATGACAGTGACGATGAAGCCGAAGAAAAAGATATAAAACCGAACATTAGGTAGTCACGAATGGACTGATGTCGATAAAGTTCCCCCTTTATGTTGTCATTCCCGTGTCTTAACCATTGACTCCCACCCATTGACGCCCCGGCAGCTTTGCCACGTTGGGCTGCAAAGCCTCCTGCCTGAAACCCCGGGAAGTTGCTGCCAGCCAGTGTCATGAGTCCTGGGCTAGAGGGACCAAGGTTGGCTCGGAGCGGGGCCACTTCCCTGCCCCTGTGCAGTGTACAGCAGAGCTGGGCTCGCAGAGATACGGCGCCTGCACTTAGGTCCAAGCAGGGGCGGCCCGGTGTCCTCTGCTCTCTCCCACTGGTGGTTCTTCTGGTCCCCCGGAGCGAAGCTGCAGTCCTCACAGGAACCGGAGAGACACTGACTTCCCTGAAAGCAGCCTGTCACCAGCTGGTGTGAGGCCAGCCGCGTGGGACGGCTCGGTCTTGCGCGGGCAACGACGAGCCAGTGCCGATGCAACAGGCCTCCTGCTGGACTTGGTTGCTTGAGGTGCATCCGCGGAGCTGCTGGATTTCTTGGACTCTTCCTGGGGGTGGGGCCACGGCAAGTGTCACGGTGAGCACCTGCCCTTCCCAGTGCACCGCTGCACCGTGACTGTGGTGCCCTAAGCGGCTTGTGGGTCACACACAATCTATTATATAGGCTTTTCTATGACTTGGGCTAAACTTGCATGCATTTATGGACATGCCATTGTGTCTATTTTGAATTTAGTTACTCAGAAGTATCAATATTTTGTTGCATAAAGAAGAATCCATCCCAAGATGGTATCATGTATGAACAATTATTTGCTGAACCGCACCAATTATAACTTTTGATAGTATAAAATGGATCTCTTCTCAAAAAAAGAAAAATCAATGTTGCAGAGCACTTCAAATAAAGTTAACAACTTCATTGTAAGTTACTTTATTAAAGTATTTGCAAGTGCAAGGTTTTTGTTTGTCTGACACATTGGAAGTATAAAAAGCTATAGCTGCATTTACACACACACCCAAACATCTGCAAAGCAATCCTACCTGTTTCCAGCTCAGAAGTTATCGCTATGGGATTTGCCCTCAGGGAAGTGAGTCCCCTTGGGGTTCTGAGGCCCTGCCCTGATCCTGCTAGGCCCGCCCCATCCCTCCCTGGCAGCCAGTCTCACGCTGATCAAAGAATGTGTTGGGACATGGTGCACAATGTTTCACGAAGCAGATGTGGGCGCCCCCTGAAGCCAGAAGGGTTCAGGGGAGAAATGTGTTCCAAAGCCAACTTTATTGATTTCCAAATCTTGCAATGTGTCTATGCCTCAAAAGTGTTCATGGAGCTTTATCTGCTGCGAACAACAAATTCAAAACATTAGTGAAATTTCCTCCAATCTGTCCATGCCTGAGTCAAGCATAAGGCAGAGCCTAAGAGAACAGCAAGAGACCCCCCCCCCCAGCCACTACAAAGAAGTGAGCCATGGAATGGAGCTGAGGCAGAGCCTGAGCCGAGCCTGCACCCGGGCTCCGTGGAAGCCGTGGGACTGGGAGCACGTCGCCCGCCTCCCTGCCCGCTCCACGTGGCCCATGAAACCCCTTGCGCGCGTTCCCTGAGGCCCTGAATCGGTCCAGGGGCTGCCTGCAACAGCCTCCCTGCACTGCCAGGCTGAAAAGCCGTGAGGAGCAGAGGGGATGCGTGTGGGGGCAGGGCAGCCCCCCCCACGGGCTCACCAGCTGAAAGCAGCTTGCCGAGTTTCCATGTGGCCTGCCAGCCTTCCTGGACTCTAGGGGGCAGGGTCCCCCCTTCTCCCACCAGGAATTCACACCACTGCCCCCCATCTATCTGGCCTTCCTCTGCTGAAGGAGTGAACGTGGCTGGGGGCGGGGGGGGGCAGCAGTGAATCCTGGCCAGGAGGGCGGTTGTCTTCACAGTGCTGGTCCTGTGCTCCGAGCAGGAACGTGCGGCAAGGGAGGCCGGGAGGCGCTTCAGAGGGAAACGGGGACAGCCGCTGTTCAGCAGATGGTGGCCAGGGGAAATGGCCTCCCTTCCCCTTGCAGGAGGCCCTGCAGTCCCCAGAGGACGACCAGCCGCATTTTGGGCAGCCTCCGGGGTCACCCACGTGGGGCAGGAGCTTCTCGAGGCCCGGGATGGCGTGTGCAGGGCTCAGCAGGCACAGCAAGGATCCCCCTCTTAATTTATAAGACACTCAATTCTAGACGGAAGAGCAAAGGATCATGTTCCTGGAAAAAACGCAAACACCCATGGATGGAAGTTTTCCCTAGCCATTCTCCTGTGACACTGACAAAAGGTGGGAATAAATGATGAGCGATGAGTCACCACTGAGACTTCCGTGTGTATTTTGCTGTGGTCCCCCCTGTGCATCCCCTAAATCTGAAGCAAAAGGCTGCAGAGGAAATTTACTTGTTTGTTCGAAAGTGGAAGTCCCACTGTGTGGGCCGAAGTCTACAGGGTTTGCCTGCTTTTTTAAAAACATCTTCTTCCTGAGATGCGATGCATCTTGAACGCCTCTGGTCTGGGAGCACCCACTCCCTCCCAGGGTCATTAGTTCCATTGTCACACTGCTTGAATGGTCAGGATTCCCCCCACCCAAGTATCTAGCCTTTTCTATAAAGTAAGCTTGTGATGCTGTGTCCTGCACTCTGGGGGGATCCTGAAGGGATCCTGGCCTTCCTTCTCGTGACAGCCACCCCATCTCCTCTCCATCTTTCTGAGGCTAAATGTGTCCAGCTCTTCCGACATCTCCTCCTGGGACTTTGTCTCCAGTCCCCGGATCATCCGTGTTGCCCTCTTCTGACCAAGCCTTTCCACCTGGTCTCCATCTTTCTTCAATTAGGGTGCCTGGAACCGGATGCTCCAGGTGGGGCCTGGCCAGTGCTAAGTGGTGGGGAGCAACCACTTCACGTGATTTGAAAGTGACGCTTCTCTTGATGGGGCCTAAGGCGGCATGAGGCATCCCGCCTTTTGCTCATGTGAGGATTCTCTGCCACAAGCGGAGAGGAACACTGGGTGGAAAGCGTGGCAGGGTTACGAGTGGAGGGACATTCTGCAGAATAGGCAGGGCAGTGGCTTCGTCAGGCCTCACCTGAAGTGCTGGTGGTGGTCTTTATGTCGGACACCCTACACTCCCACTTCACGCTGCTGCTTGGTTTCCCAGCATCAGCCTGTTTCTCAGATGCCACGGCAACCCTTGTGCCACATCGTTGAGGAGCCTGCCCCTTTCACCAGTGCAAGGGGGCGCGGGAGCCCTGTTAACCCAAGGCGGGACAAAGAGATCTTTCCTTCCTTCCTTCCTACCTAGGTCAGCCTGGCTGCATTGCTTGAAAGAGTGTGCCCCCCCCCCCCCGGTGGCGGAAGCCTCTGGCACACAGAGCTCTGCGTGACCTCGATTCTGCTGGGAAAATTGCACGCACCAGCTTCAGAATGAGCACCAGCACGGAGTCCCCGGTGCGCCACAACTGCCACGTGGCTGGCGAGGCTGCTGTGCGCCACTTACGCCTCCCTCTCCGTGGCAGGCGCCCACTTCCTCAGCTGCCTTGGTTTCCCGGGGCTTGGGGCCTGCTGGTGTCTCCCCAGGTCACGACAGGAGGGCCTGCCAGGAGGGAGGGAGGGACCACGCCAGGGGAGAGCGGTGGGCGCACGCCAGCATTGGGAGGGGGGGCACAGGCCAGCAGGGAGCATCAGTGGAGTTAGGAGAGAAAGGAGGGGTAGGCGGTCGAAGGGGGGGGAAGGCTGCATTTGAACATTAAAGCCCAGGCCTGCTTTAAGGTGCTCACATTGACATAGCAAGCCTTAAATGACTTAGGGTCTGGCTATCTAAAGAAGCATCTCTTCCTCTAAACACCGACCTGGACTGTACGGTCATCTGTGGGGGCCCTTCTCCAGGAGCCACCTTTAAAAGAAATAAGTCCCTCAGGGAGGGCATTCCTGGGGCCGTCTCTTTATAGATTTCAGATCCATGGCAACCCTTTTTATTTTCTCATTATTTTAATTGCTAGATATTAATATTCAGTTGTATGTTGGTTTCGATTTATATTGTCACTGGCATACTGTAGATTTGGTATTAGTTTTTGTGTTACTGCTACTACTGCTGCTATTATTGTTATTTTGTTATTACTGTTATATTTCAATGAATGTTGAGATGTCCTATTACATCGCTGCATGTATTCTATGTTATGGTTTTATATGGTGTTTACTCTTGGTATGCTGTTCTGAGAGCTTTTTGCTAACTGAACCGTCTATAAAAGCCTTCAATAAACAAAGTGATCGGTCTCCTGGCCACAAGAGGCTCAAGAGGCTCTGGCCCCACCTCGCGCAGCAGGTGTGGAAACGGCCACGCCAGCTGCCCCCCTAGATGGGGAAGGTGACCTTGGCGGGAGGTGGCGAAGTGGCGTTGGTGGGGAGGGGCAGGCAGGGAATGGAGGCTCCAGGACACGCCTCCCCAGCTTCCTTCCCTCCCCCTCTGAAATGAATGCCCCAGCTAGATGGCCACTTTTGGGAAATGCCTCCATCTTTTCAGCTGGTGAGGATACCAAGTTAGAGGAGCAGGGGGGTAAAGGTCACCTGCTCCGAGGGAGGGGAGCCAGAGGCAGGCGTGACCGAGAGGGAGGGAGCTCCTGAAGCAGGAGGGTGGTGCTAGGCCGGGGCAGCCGTGCCGGGGCGTGCCTGCTCTGCTTAGTGGCCTGGCAGCTCCGTGCGCACCTCTGCAGGCATTCCCTGCAGCACCTATGTTCCGGGCTGGGCACATCCCCTCTGAATGACACGGACGGATCTCTTCTCTCAGGCAGAGAAGATGCTGGTTGGTCAGTCCGCGCAGAGTCCTATGGACAAGCTGGGAGCTGTGACCAGGGCCCAGGACCTGGCGGGGCCCACCCTCCCTGGGCGCTGCAGCCGGGACAGAAGTCTTGCGCCGCCTGTCTGCAGCCAAGCCTCCCCAGGGCCGAAGTGCAGGCTACTTTTGTCGCATTTTTAAACAAACAAACACACGCACACACTTAAGCCGGCTGCTTCTATCTTGTGCAAATACAGATGCGCACCCAGGATCTGGATCAGGCCCCACACCTGCTTTCTGCCGAAAATTGCCCCCTTTGCCCTCGTGGAGCTATTTCCTGCAAAGAGCAAGCCGGCAAGGAAACCGTTTCCGCAGAAGGTTGCCCTCGGGCTCAGTCTCGGGGGCGCTTCTGCGGCTGTCGTGACGCGACGCCCGGCCTCCCGGCTGACCCGTCCCTGCCATCTGGGCTGCTGACTGCGCGGGGCATCACTCGAAGGTGAGCGCCCCCTGGAGGGGAAGGAGCCCTGCTGCACGTGCCCCACTCCGCTGGGCGAGGGCGCCCTCTCCTGGAGCGCCGCCCTGTTGCAGCTTGCTCCACCGCTCGCGCGCGAGGACAGTCGGGAGCAGCCTTGCCGCCGCCCCCCCCCCCCGCCCCGGGCGGCCACGGCTGCGCTTTAGACAGCATCCTCCTCTCTGGGTGATGCACTTCTTCTTCGTCAAGGTATAAAGGCCAGGGGGCTTCTGGCATCTTTTTGATTCTGTTCTGTTTCAAAAATGCTGGTTGAGCTGGCGGGGCACTCGAGAAAGCATTCACAGCCTGGGCGAAGTACGAACCCTGGCAGCGAGGGCTGCTGGTGCGTGGGGCAGGGCCAGGCAGTCCTTTGGACTGGGCCCTCCTACGTGTATGTTCTCGCTGGTCCTGGGCCTGTGTGCATCTGGTCCTGTGTGGCTGGCAGCTCCACACCACTCACCATTCTACGTTCTCCTGAATGCCCTGAAATTTTAATTTGGGAAAGCTGAAATGGTGGCCCTGTAAGTGTTCTGGGCCGGGGGCGGGGTGGGGGGGTGGGGTGACTACTGATGCCAGAGAAGCCAGAAAAGGTTAGGAGGTTCTCCTATAATGCTGCCTATAGGTTCTCCTCTATCCCAGCCCTGGTTTTCCCAACAGCATCTTACAATGTTAGGCCAGGGTTTCTGGCAGCTCACTGCAAAGAGCAGTTGTGCCCACAGCTTCCACCCGCAGATCAAACCACGGTGGCACGGAAAGGCTGAGCTGTTTATCTCCGTCACTTTTATCCGGGAGGACATGAGCCACATTACGAGAAGCACTGGGCATTCCGTGAATGTTGAAATGAACTGAACATCCCTGCAACTCTCAGGAGGCCGGGCATGTGGTGCTGCCGCTTCTCTGTAAAACTGCTAACTGGATGTTCTCAGTCAATGGTCAAATTGCATACTTATGTTTGACAGTAAAGAATGGAGAAAACTGCAGCCTCCCTTTGTTGATCCTTTCCCACAGATGGAAAAAACAGTAGCGAAACTGCGGCATCACACGCGCCTGTGGATTGTAGCATTCCGTTTTTCTCCCAGTCTTGCTATGTCCAACGCCGTGCTCCTGAAGGAGGAGTCCCCCAAGCAAGGGGGATGTGCGGAGAAGTTCTTGAAATCCCAAAACCAGAGGGCAGAGCCATCATCTTTCAGGACAGTCAAGTGAATGAACTGCCTTCTTTCCTCTCATCCAGTTGGACTGTGACTGGTTCACGTCCCACTTGCCCTGTGAGAGCCATCTGTCCGGAAGTCTCAAACCGTGCTGCTTGGTTATCACAGAACAGCAGGGCTGGAAGGGGCCAGGAGGGCCGTCAGAGCTTGCACAGATTGGCTGCAGAGCATGGGGATGTGCATGTAGGTGACCTGGGCTCGGAGAGCAGAACAGGCAGCTGGATGGATATTTGTGGGGGAGGGAGGGAACCAGGCGGCCTGAGAGGGCACTGCAGAGCCCAGGCTAGGGATCCGCTGGCTCCTGCGCTTGAGGAGAGACGACTCGGAGGGGTGGACGCCTCTCTTGGCTGCTCCAGCCCAGCACTTTCTGCATGGCCACCCAGCAGTGTGCAGTCCCAAGGCCATGCTTGGCAGTGATGCTGGAGACTGGCTCTTCAATCTTCTGCGGACAGTGGCGGTCCTTAGCTGATGTCTGGCCAGTGTGATGGGCTGGATGAGGGCCAATAAATTGAGGCTTAATCCAGGCAAGATGTCGGTCCTGTTGGCAGGCAGTTCAGCCTTCTGGGTAAATGATGCTAGCCCTGTTCTGGACCGGGTTGCACTCCTCCTCAAGGACAGGGCGTGCAGTTTGGGAGAGCTCCTTGATCCAGAGCTGTCCCTGGAGTTCCAGGTGGCCACTGAGGCAAGGAGCACTTTTCTGCAGCTTTGGCTGATTCGTCAACTGCACCCTTACCTGGATGAGCAGAGCCTAGCAATGGTGACCCACACTCTGGTAACCTCCTGCTTGGACTATTGTAACACGCTTTACATGGAGCTGCCCTTGAAGACGGTCTGGATACTTCAGTTGGTTCAGAATACAGCCGCCAGGATGTTAACAGGGACAGATGGGCAAATATAATGCCGGTCCTTCACCATCTACACTGACTGCCAATTGAAGTCTGGGCCCAATTGAAGGTGCTGGTGATGACCCACAAAGCCCTAAATGGCTTAGAAGCTGCACATGTGAAGGAAGTGTCTCCTTTCCTATGTGCTGCCTGCCCCTTAAGATCTGGGTTGGAGGTCCTTCTTTGGGAGCCCTCCTTGAAGGAGATTAGGAGGGTGGCTACCCAGAGAAAGGCCTTCTCAGCTGTGGTGCCCTGGTCATGGAACACACTTCCCACAGAGGTTCGCCTGACACTGTCACTTTATTCTTTTCGGTGCCAGGCTAACACCTTTTTATTTTCCCAATATTTTAAGGTTTAAATTGCTATGATTTAGCAATTTAGCATAAACACAGAAATGATGTTGTGTTTTACTTTATTGTATTGTAAAACCCTCCTGAGACTATTTGGTAAGAGGACGGTATAGAAAAGTTTCAAACAAACACACAAACGTAGGTTTTTCTTGCACACACCGCTGACTCAGGGTCTCTTTTCTCACTGTTCTGCTCCTTCTGGTACTCTGGCGCTGGAGTATACCGAATTGTTTGTGCGGGGGGCTGCTAGCAGATCAAGGGCCCGGGGAAGAAGCTCTGGTTGAAAACGCCATCTGCTTTTTGGGAACCTGTCCAGAGCCGTTCTTTCACGCTTCCCTGCTAGCCCTCTCTCTGCAGCTCTGTGACTTCCTACAGAGCAGGTGAAGACCATCAAGCAGCTGGGAAAACTCCTTTCTGATCTGAGGCACCTGGGAGCGCCCCAGGGTGGCCTGGGAGAACATCTCTTTGACAAGCATTCCCTAGGGAGTGGCAGCTGAAGCTGCAGGTGACCTGCCACCCTATCCATGGCTGCTGATCCCATTTTGCGCCGGTGATAAAATCTGGATTTCTGCTGGACCTATTAGAAGTGTATGTATGCTTAATGTTGGGATACAGACTCCCTACATGACAAGGGAGCAGGGCCTGGCTGTTAAACCACATTCGTTCTGTTATGCAAATACATTGCCTGGCTCTCTTTGGAGGACCAGCGTATTTTCCCACTGACATACTTGGGCACATGCTTTTCTATTTCCTCCAGGAACTGGAGGCAAATTAGCTCACAATTGTCGTTGGAAAAAAGCCTAGAAGTACAATATCGTAATTCAAATTACATTGTATCTTAAAATATTATACAGGTTCTAACAAGTTCTGCCTTGCACCACTTGCAAAATAAATAAATTATGTCTGGGCTGAAGAAATTATGCTCTCTGATCAGTTCTCGCCAGAGTAGCTCCTCACTGCCTGTCGTAACCACCCCTTGTTACGGATTGGGAATTTATCCTTGTTCGATGCTTTTGTTTAGGGACATGCTCACTCATCAAATAGCAAGCATTAAACTTTCCGATTCCTTCCTTTCAGTTTAGCCATCCATGCAAAGCAATTCAGTAATCTATCCCGTTTTCAGTATATAGAATTGCACACTGGATAAAGATGATAAAGGATCGTTTCAATGGTATCCAATGACAGCCAATGTGGCTTATTGGTAAGAGTGCAGGTCTGGGACTCAGGCAGCCTGGGTTCTAGTTCCCACTCAACCACAGAGCTCACTGGGTTACTTCAGGCCAGTCACAGACTCTCAGCACAGACTACCTCACAGGGCTGTTGTTGTGAGGGTAAGATGAAGAGCAGGAAGAGGAGAACGATGTAAGCCACTCCGAGTTCTTTAAAAAAGAAAACTGCAGAATGTAAGTCTAATTATAAATAAATACACTCCATTGCAAATGGTTGTAGATCACAAGCTGAGCATGAATCAACAATGTGATGTGGCTGCAAAAAAAGGCAAATGCTATTTTAGGCTGCAGAAGTATCACTCCGAGATCATTTGCAGTGCCAGTCCCCCTCTACTCAGCACTGGTCTGGCCTCACCTGGAGTGCTGTGCCTAGTTCTGGGCACGACAGCTGAAGAAAGATGCAGGCAAGCTGGAAAGGGTTCAGAGGGCAGCACAGATGATCCCGGGACTGGAGGCAAGGCCGTATGAGATCAAAATAGCTGGGCATGTTCAGCCTCGAGAAGACTGAGGGGGGAGAGAGAGCACTCTCCAAGTCCTTGAAAGCTGCCACAAAGAGGAAGGCCAGGATCTCTTCATGATCACCTCAGGCTGCAGGACACAGAATCAAGGGCTCAAGTTATAAGACGCCAGCTTCCGGCTAGATAGCAGGAAAAAAATTCCTGTCCAAACAGTACGGCCATGGAGCCCCTGACCTGGGGGGATTGTGGGCTCCCCCACGCTGGAGGCATTCAAGATGCAACTGGGCGGCCATCTGACAGGGATGCTTCAGCTTGGTGTTCTGCACTGAGGAGGGATTAAACCTGGTGGCCCTCTGGCTCCTTCCAACTCTACTGTGCTTTGATTCCCTGCAGAATGCAAGGCAAGCAGAAGTCAGAGGGAGGGAGGGAGGGAGCCAACTATGCTAAGAGTTCAGCCTCTTCAGATGCCTTTTCTCTCCTTTGTGTCTCTGTTGGGGTGCTGTGCTGCCATGTTTACTTGGGTGCAACTGAGCTCCGCCACTGATTTCATCATGGCAATGGAAAGAACAGTTCAGCATTAACCCGTTTGTGGAAAACAGCACCGGGAGGGCCACGGTGAACACTAATCCTTCCATTTCTTCTTCTGTCCCAGATAGGGTTCTGCTCAATTCTGCAAGCTATCAAACAGGAAGGTATTTCAGTGGTTACACCCAGATTGTGGAACCCCTCAATGTATATGCCCCTTTATCATTGTTAAAGATAGGCTCCATCTCTGTGAACCCTGAACATGGATTATGGAACATGCTGTTGCAGGTTTCCATTCATTGTTTCTACTGCAAAAGATTCTCAAATAAAATTCATTATCCACACACATGTGAACATGTAACATTTTAAAAATGGATTTTATTTATATTTTATTTATAATCAAAAAATAATTTAAAATATGCAAGCCTCCATCTGTCATTTGTATATACCTGCATTTAAAAGTACGCCTAATCACATCATTGCATGAATGTTCTCATGGAAGTGCCTAGGTAAGCAGAGACATGTTGAAATCATACCTCGATTGGCACAGTGCATGGTGTTTAGGGTTCTTCTCTCCTGTAGTGCCTTGCCTTACAAAAAGACCCCTTGTATACTACCATCTCAGAGGGATGAAGAGGGAGGGGCAATGAATGAGCCGGTTTAAGATGCCCCAACCAAATTTTTCCTGGAGGAGCACCCGGATTTCCTCTCTGAGGTTAGACCAGCTCCATCGTTGTTCAGCTTTTGGCATTTCTGTTTTCTCAGCATTCATTGATTTTGAAGGGTTGACAGCTGGTTTTATTATTCTAGAGGGGCTCTTTTAAAAGCTCTGCTTTCATCTTTTTCAGTTTTCAATTGTTTTAATAGTGATGGCTTTATGACTAAGTAGTAGTATATTTACATAAACAAACCAAAGTTAAAGTGAATGAGAAAATTACTACTACCCAGGAGTGTGTGAGCTCCTGGCTACCCATACGCCCCTGCTGAGCTGTAATCCATAGCTTATTCTTGAGTTACACGGCTGGATTGTTCTTTGTCCTACAACCTGCAATTCCAGGTTCAGATGTCATGATAATCAACCCTGGGAAGGAGTATCCCAGGGTTGTTGCTTAGCCCAGCAGGAGCAGATGGGCAGTCAAGGGCCAGCATGTACACTAACATCCTCTTCATTATAAACAACCTGTGCTTGACAAACTATGGAACCATGTTGCCATGTCTGAGCCAGGCCACTGATTGTACCAGATTCAGTTATGGCACAAACTTCTGGGAGATCCAGAAGGAAAGCATTGCACAAAAAAATATTTGTAAAATATCATTTTACAAAGAGTTCTAAATGACAACAGAGGCAATAGAAGAGGTAGTATCATGAAAAGTAGACAAGACCTAGATTTTCATGTCGTATACTATCACCTCTTTTTAATCAAAAATATTCTTCCACCAACTTCTTGATCTAATTTACCGCAGAATCTTGCATTTGGAAACAGTACACACAATATTACAGGCTGCACCACCAAATTACTCTTTGCCTACAGTTTAGCTCTCTGCACATGCACTCTCTCTTTAGTGTTGCGGCAGCAGTACCCCAGAGCAGCCCAGGCATTCCCTGGATTACCCTGCCCAGATGCCACAGCCACCACGATGTCCTCAGCGGCAGCACAGTTCATCTAGCCCATGGCTGTGTCACTTCCAGGAAGACTCGGGAGAGAGCAAGTGAGAAGAGCGCAGTTTCTCACCAGTGCGCTTTTCTCTGTTTAGATATCAATTATGACAAAGAGCTCAGGTTTTTCACCATCACAGATCTGCATTGCTGAATAGGTGATTGCTTTGACTTCTGTGCCCTGAAAAGGAACAAGAAAAGCAAAATGAATTGGCCCTCAGAGCCATATGCAGAGTGACAGGCCAACTTCTCTGAGACACCAACACGTGCGGTGCAGCCGAAGTAGCCTTTCCATAGCTGCATTCGTTCCGTGTTCAACTCTTTGAACAAGCGCAATCTTGAAATGCACCAGATCATGACTTTCTGTATCATCAGCACTGGCCCAAAGCCTCTCCAACACTCCAAACATGCTCTTAGACAGAGGACCCAGAATGCTACAGTGTTGTCTTTTTCTCTGTGGTAAGAAAAAGATGGAAAAAGTACTGGGAAAACCCAGGAGAGGCTGGAGTGAAATACATAATCATCTGGACCCTCGTAAAATCCTGTGATTGAGGCAGGGCAATGACATAAGGAAAGCCTCATCCAGAAGCACCCAAGAACTGCTGCAGATGGAACACTGCTCAGCCTTGAACCATGGTCTGACGATCCAGAGGCCTCAGGCTCTCCTCTCCCCTTTCCGTTCCCTTTTTGTTTGACAAACAGTTAGGTTTAGCACAGTGTCTGTACCTATGTTTTCACTCACCATACTTAGTACTGAACCTGGTTGAAACCATGGTCAGAAGCAGGTTTTCCAACTCTGGTTTGATACGAATGATGGCGAGCAATACATTAAGTGCAGTTACTACTATTTCCAAAGCAGAAAGGGCAGGGAGGAAAGCCCCCACAGGAGGGAAAAAGCAAGGGTAGGAGAGAAGAGCCAGCTCACGCAGTGCCCGTGATTGAGTAATGCTGGGCCAAAGACTCAGCGCATGCAACAAGAGAGGTATGGTTTTGGTAGGGTATTCATGAATGTCCACAGGCAGGTTGCGAAAAGTGGGTTAATCACAGTGAGCACTTTCTCCAAGTTAAGGCTCAAAACAAAGGCATCATGTCATCTTACGGCTTCCCAGCTGGCAGCAAAAACCTGCCAGCTTCAGAAGATGCTGGGAAGTATCAATGGGGCCCAATGGCTAAGGTAAACTGCATTGTGCTGGCACGAACTGCTCTAACACAGAGCTAACAGCATAGCTGGAATACGGATTTCCCAGGGAAAGCCTTTCATTTATGCTGCCCTCTGCCTGAAAGAATCTGTCCTGGAAGTTGCACTGTTCATTTCTGTGAATATTTACTGCAGCTGATTTTGGTCCAGTCTGGGTATTAGCAGGAATTTCATGAGTGCAAGCTGCAACCAACAGCAAGCCAGAGAATACAGGACCATGAGAATTTGAACTAAGAGAAGTGCTTATTTAAGACAGACTTATCACTGGCCTCTACTGAAGAATGAATACTACATCTTTCATGACATACCTGGGGATGCTTCAACAAAGAGAACTCTTCTCCCCACCTTAAAAGGAAAAGTAGAGGGGTTTTTTTAAAGGAAATGACTGAATTAAATCAGAGCAGTTTTTGTTTAAAAGCGAACAAGCTCTGGTTATTTAAGGCAGATATGTGGAACAACAACAAATGTGCTCTGAAAGAAAGGCCATGATATCAACTGCACCAGGATGATTTTCCCTCAGCAAACCTGGGCAGCTAGATAGAGTGCATAAGCAGCTCTACCCCAAAGCCTAAATGGCCCACCCTCAGAGGGCAGTACAGATTTAGTTGTGCATATCCAGGTGTGAATGGCCAGGTTAAGAAGGCCAGTACATTTCCCATCATCTTCAAAGCAGCACATCCTTCCCAAGAACCTGGGTTTAGCTTCAGTCAGTACAAGAAGGCCATTTAATCAAAAGGAGAACATGCATCATCTTGGAAGAAGAGAAATTCCTCATCACACCCCTCCAGGTTTAAAGCATATGTGTTGTGGCAATGGGAAGTTTCAGCCAATCACATCACAGACTTGCAGTTTCTGGAAATTTTTATGCAGGGCCTCCACTTGGGGTTTCAACATTTCTGTTTTAAATTAGATCATTCTACTTACCCAACAGACCTTATTCTGAATCCTACCCGGTCAATATGGAGCACTTTCACTTCCTACAAAGAACAGAAAAATGAGCAATTCTTTGTGATTTTAAAAGGCATATACTTCCACATAGCTTTAGTAACATGACAAAAGTTACTTGTTTAGTTACATGACAAAATATTAATTCTCAGTTCTAGGCAGAATACTAATTCCCAACTATCTACGCAAACTGAGGTACATCAAGAGAAAAAAAACATTTGAAAGCAAGGAGAACTAATGTTTGAGTCTATCTACCAGGTGCTAGATGGAGTCCCTGGGGCAGTGGGTGTGAGCTTGGGTGGACTCTGAGGGATGGTGGAGGACAGGAGAGCCTGGAGGAATGTTGTCCATGGGGTCATGATGGGTTGGGCACGTCTTTGCGACTAAACAACATCTACTAGGTACATTTGCTCGTATTTCTTTTTCCCATTTCAGCACCTTTATCTTCTCAAATAACCAAATTACTCTGCAAAGGCCTTCCTGAATCACCACTTTAATGCTTATACACAGTGGTGCAGTTTATGGAGATGTCCTTTAAATGCCTTATGTATTACTTGAATTCTGAAGGACAATTAACTTCTCTGTCGCTACTTCCATGCCATTCTAATATTTTACATTCCTGATTATTTGCTGCAAGGCAAATGCAACAACACTTTGCTGATCCTAATTTTAAAAGTGATGGTGGGGCACGTGCAGTTTTGCACTTTAAGCTCAAACAAATCATAGTGGAACGACTATGGGAATGATATTGCATTTGCTACTACTGCATGATGCTGAACATGTTCACTTGGGAATCAGCACCATCTTGTTGCAGAAAAGAAACATTTACAGTAAAAATTAGAGAACGAGCATTTGGTGATGGGTATAGCCAACTGATGCGCAACCAGCCAAAACTGGGAGTAATACCACATTTAATTAGGCAGAAATCAATTCACACTCACCCTCGGAATGAAAAATTCCTCAGCACTGAATTTATAAAGCCACTCATCCAGAAAATGAAATAGAAGAGAAAGCATGTCATGTCCTGTTAAAGAGAATCAGAAGTAAGCAGAGAGCAAGCTGAGTGGAGCAAACAGAGGGTCCCCAGATGCTCCTTTCCTTCAGAATCCCCCAGTGCATGGAAGGCTCTCCCAAGCACCTGCTGGACCCTTTCCCATCCAAGCCACACTTGTGCGCATGGTCAGAGAGCAAGCTCTTGCGTGGGGATCAGCAGGACAGCCAAGCACATTATAAGTGGCTCCTTCTCATTGTTGGTCTATTGAACTCAAGGGAACATCTCAAGCCGAACTCTCTGCCTGCCCGCTTCCCACAGGGGAAGGCTTCAGGATTTGTTCTTATGGAGCTGCTACGAAAAGTCTGGCAACTTAGAAACAGAGCGAGTCAGAAGGGTCCCCCCGGACCATCTAGTCTGACCCCCGGCTCCGCTCACGACATGCCCACCATGGGCAAGTCCAGCCTATCTTTGAACAGCTCACTGATGGGGCCTCAACCACCTCCCGGGGAAGCCCATTCCACACCCTCGGGGTCCCAACTGTCAGGAAGTGCTTCCTGGCATCCAAATGGAACCTGGGTTCCCTGAGCTTTGCTCCGTTGGAGCGCTTCCTGCCTTCCCCTGCAGGGGAGAACAGGTCTCTACCCACCTCCGTGTGACACCCCCTCACATACCTGTGTGTAGCCAACAGATCCCCTCTGAGTCTCCTCTTCTCCAGGCTGAAGAGACCCAGCTCCCTCAGTCTCACCTCATACGGCATCCCCTGCAAACCGGCCACCAACCTTGTGGCCCTACGCTGCACTGACTCTAACCTGGCTATATCCTTTCTGTCATGAGGGGCCCAAAACTGAGCACAATACTCCAGTTGCGGGCGCACCAGAGTCATGTAGAGTGGTAGCAATACCTCTCTCGATCTAGAAGCCACACTTCTGGCTATGCAACCAAGGGTGGCGTTCGCCCTCTTGATCACTGCATCACACGGCTGGCTCATGTTCAGCCTGCAGTCAACTTGTCTTTGAGTACACTCTGAAAATTAACACCTCTGGACCTTCAGTGGACCTCTGGACCTTCAGAAAATTAACACCTCTGGACTCCCCTAAAAATACTGGAAACTGAATAAGTAAGTTACTCTGGGCAAGTAAAAGCCAAGCGATACATTCCCCTGTGCCTTGGACAAGGCAGTCACGTAAGGCCATGTGTTCCAGACAAATGAAGGGCATGTTGCCACAGGGCCACTTCAACTCAGAAGTCGGCCGCACTGCCTGGGGATAAAGGGAAGGCGCCAGGTTGGAGAACCCTGCTTCTGAGAGCACCATCTTACCCTCTGTCTCCACCTCGACTGTATCCAGAGGCTCGACCGTCTCCGTATCTGTCATGTACCCAAACATGGCCATAGCACACTGCTCAAAGGCTTCTTCCAAGGTGTCTCCCCAGGCATGCAACCTAAAGAGATCTTCACGTTAAAACTGCTGTGCACGCCTTCCTGCAAAGAAGCCCCCAGCTGTCTAGGCTTTCCCACAGGGCACCAGAAAGGGATCAGCTTGACCATGCTGATTAGGATGTTGTGGGGCACTCTGTCAACAGCTTTGCTGAACTCAGGATATATTATGTCCACGGCATTCCCACAGACCACACGGGAGGTCAGGGGAAGGACGGCAGCGGCTGAAAACTGGGGAAGCATTTCCTTTAGGAAGGACAGAGTGGGAGATGGACTCTCTTGATGCCTTTCCTTCCCCCTTCGTGTCCAGTGGAAGGTAACAGAGGCAGGACTGTGTAAGGAAATACTCACTGCACATCAGCTGTGTGATCCAGATCTAAATGGGGATTAAGAAGAGAGAAAAGTGATCAGACCACCTGTCCCATTTAAAAGAGTCCTTTGATTTCAAAAACAAATCTAAACAATGAGGAGAGGAGCAAGGCAGTAAGTGGCCAGGATACTACTACTCCAGCCACGCAATGATGCGTATTACATCAATCCGGGTCTCACGAAGTGAGCACAAGGCAGGTTTCCGTGCTCAACAAGGAAGCGAAGACCAAGTAAACACACCGAAACGCACTAACTCTCCCGCGGCAAGGACTCGTGGTTCTCCGTTGTTCCTGCCAACTGCCCAGGGAGCTTCGGCGGTGCAGCAGCGGAGAAACGTCGTGACGCGAGACAGGGCTCTCTCTCGGTCCCCCACGCGGCAGCTCCTGCCTGGGAAGCGGCAGTGCGCTCACCACGCTCGGTCCGCGCGAGGGCGAAGTGCGGCGCCCCAGCGAGCCGAGCACGCTGCCCGCCGCCGCCGCGCGAAGGAGGACGCGCCCTCGCGCCCCTGCCCAGCCTGGCCGCGACCCGCGGAAGTGGCCGCCCGCCCGCCCCGCCCTTCGCGCCGGCCTCGGCCCGCGGCCACTCACACTCGTACTTCCTCTGGATGGGCGGGTAGCGGGCCTTGACGGCCTGCTGCTCTCCGGTCAGGCCGAGCTCCCGTGTGTCGTGGGCCATGGCGACAGCGCCGCGCCTCTTCCGCCGAGCGGCTTCGCCGGCGGGGAGCGTAGGCCGGCCCTCGGCCCTCGGCCCCGCCTCCTTGCGCGCGCCGCCGTCGTTCGGGGTCCCGGCCGGATCCATGCGGCGCGCCCCGCCCCGCCGATTCCGCAGGTGGAGCTGCGGCGGCTCCTCCGCGATGGTAGCGGCTTTTAAAGCATTTCGGGTCGGGATTCCCGGGCCTTCCCGCCGCTGAGCAGGCAGAGGTTCAGCCGGTCAAGCTTCTCCTGGCATTTGCCGTGCAAGTGGAAGGGTGGCTCGCTGGGTTTCTAGCGAGCATGCTGCGGCGATGGTCCTGCTTTCCTTCATGTATTTCGATTTCATATGCACAGAACTCTTCCTCCAAGGAGCTCAGCCGGCACCCCCTTCCTCCAACGGGCCTACCCAGCCGGTTTTCTGGCCGATTGGTGACCTGAAGAGGAGAGTTGGCCCCTGCAGTGCACGAGGCAGGGCGATTGTAGAAGAAAAAGCTCGTATGGAAGTGCCAGAGTCTATCACTTCTCGTCTGCCAGCCCTGTAACTGTTACAGCACGCTCAGCTTTTTTCTTACTGAAAAAGGTGCTTTGATGTTACAGGCGCAAGGCTTGTTTGGTCCCTGTCTGAAAATGGTACTTAGAGGCAGCAACAGCCTGAGGGCACAGCCCCCTGCCCAGAGACAGGAAAAGTGGAGTGGATCCCAGAGTCAAACTGCGCTAAGGACTTCCTTTGATGCATGCTGAATCTCCCACGCATCAGCTTCATGACCCCTTTAGGATCCAGTGTTACAGAAGAAAAAGGATTCCCAGCCCACTTCTTCATGCTGTGCATGAATTCGAACTCCTCTCTTGCCCTTTTTCTGAGCTACACGATCTCAGTTGCTGTAGCAGTTCCTCCTTGATGGCTTTAGCTGCCCTTTCCCCAACTCAATGGTGTCCTTTTCTGGTTGTGGTGCCTGGAACCATGTGCAATATGCTAAGAGCTGCCACAGCGTTTACTCTGACATGAGTGTCTGTTCTGAAGTGGTGACAAACCAAGTAACCCCAGGCATGTTGATTCAGAAATGCTCCACTGTGCCAAATGGGACTTAACTGTGAAGGATGCACCCCAGGACGGTGCCTTTAGCATCCTTCAGCCATTTCACTTTTATTACCCATGCAATTCATACGATTATAAGAACTTGTTTCTCCTTTGCGGTGATAACTGTAAGATTACAAGCATGAGAAAAACTTAGCTTGACCCTAGTCTGTCACTGCCCTGGCGAAATGGACGCCTCACTGTGGCTCCCATTTTGCAAGGGGGGCTGCTCAGGCGGCCGCGCGTCCTTCAAGAGACGATGCCGACCAATGCTTCTAGAAATCTCAGTCAAGAGGAACGGCCTCTCTTCACAGCAAGCTCGCCACGGCCAGCTCATGCCACACGGCCCGCTCGTTTAACAAGCTGCCCAGCGGACGCCTCGCTCACCTCGCCGAAAACAAAATGGCGGTTCCACAGGAAGCCTGAAAGAGCAGACGTCTTTCCCTTCCAGGGCGGGGGCGGAAAGAGCGAGTGTGCATGCGCGACCATGCCACCTTAGCTCCGCCCACTCCGCCCCGCCTCTCCACCCGCGTTCCTGCTTCGCCAGGAGACTTGCTGCGGAGGGGTCTGTGATTGGTCGGCGTTGGCGCGAACCCGTCGCGCGCGGCTGTGGTCCTGAGTGAATCGCGAGGAGGGGCGGAGGAGGCGGTTTCAGGGAACAATAGAGGAGCGCCGAGCGGCTGGCCGGCTCCGGGGAGAGCGAAGCGTCCAGCCAGCGAGCCAGCGCCCGGCGAGTCTTGAGGGGAATCAGGAAGCCGCAACGTCGCCCGCGCTGCTGAAGGGAGCAGGCATCATGGCGGATAAGGAAGGTAAGACGAGCGGGTGCCGCTGAGGGAGGAGCAGTGGCGGCAGCAGCCCGGAGGCTCGACTAGGCCGCGCTCCCGCTTTCCCTTCCCGCCCTGGCGGGCAGCCCCGCACCCAATCTGCGCGCGCGCTGGCGCAGCCCCGCCCCGCTTCGCGGGAGCCGCCCAATGGGCGCGCCCCCGCCCGCCCGCCCGCCCGCCCGCCCGCTCGTCTCGCCCGCGGCGTGGCTTCCGGACGGTGCCCTGTGATGAGGCGGGGAGGGCTGCAGGATGGCGCAGGTGGGCGCCGGCGGCGGCGAGCCGGATTCTTTACTTACCGCGCGGGGCCGGCGGCCGTTCCGCCGGCGAAGTCCTTCCAGGCGAGACGGGGAGGGGGAGGCGCAGCTGCGCCGGCGGGAACGGCGCCCTGCGGGTACCGCGCCTCGGGCTGGCCTGGCAGATCATCTGCTCTGTTTCCGTCCCGCTCAGGGCCGCGCACGTGGTCCCCTTCCCGCCCCGCAGCAGTGGGTGAGGCTGAGGGCCTCGGCGGGCTCCTCGAGCCGCTGGTTCCGCGGCCGGCCGGCCGGCATCTTTCTCAGACCCTCAGGATGCAAATGGTCGCTCGGGGGCTGGTAGAGGCTTCGGGGTGAAGGCGGAGGCTCTCCGAACACTAAGCGCTTTAGGATCATTGTGTTTCAGCGCCAGCTAAAGCGGACCTTTCCCCTCAAACACCATTCGTGGCTCGCCCGCGAACCTGCTGTTTTTGTCCCAGCAGCCTAATTAGAAAGGGTTTTTTTGTTGTCATTGCCCAGCTGATGATCCACCTCACCACAGCGTTCAGCCCTAGTCCATCTTCTGCTCCGGCCGGTCCAGCACCTTTGTACTTTATTTCAGTAATAGCTACACCAGCTCTACTAGGCCATAGTGCATCTTGCAGTTAGGAGGATAGGAATACAGTACCTTAATTAAACATCGAATGAGTTTATGAGAGATCTGAGTGGGGGATAAGGTGGTGTTTCTGGTTTACAGCTCAGTAGTTCTTACAGTGATCATGCAAAGGTTCTATGTCTTAGTGATTGGAGGCTGAGAGATGGAGGCTACTTGGTGTCTGAAAATCATTGGACCAAGGATTTCCCATCTCACACTTGTAGCTGCTACAGTGAACTCAAACTGCTTTTCCTTGTTCTCTCATTTCTTTAAAGCATAGAGTACAATACAAATAGTTCTGATGCTTTATGGTGAGAGCAGCTTTTCTGCATTGTGTTTGATGGGCAGTGCGTGCATGCACTTAGAATAGGACCACAATGTATAGTTGATGAGCTAGGCTCCTACTGGCCTAATAAAAGTAATTCCTACTTGTTTAGGAAAATAGAACATGGAAACAAACTGCTAGCTTCAGTACAGGCTGTTCCTCACTAAGTGGTGTAGCATCTCAGTCTTAATTCTTAGTTGATCTTGCAGGCCTGCTGTGCCCCTCTTTCCTCAGTGGGACTGGTATGACTTGTAAGGAGGATGGAAAGGTTTCTGTATGCTGAAGACAGAAATAACTTCTCCTCTCTCCTCTAATAAGTAAATGCAGCTTTTTAGACACTTGCCCGTGGATTTTCAGGTTCGCTTGTCAGTGTTAATTCTTTGTATACTTCTCTTACAATTGTTAGCTGCCTTTGATGATGCAGTGGAAGAGAGAGTTATTAATGAAGAATATAAAATATGGAAAAAGAACACTCCATTTCTCTACGATCTTGTAATGACTCATGCCTTGGAGTGGCCCAGCTTGACTGCTCAATGGCTTCCTGATGTAACCAGGTAATTTTCATGATGGCAATTTATACACATGTGGATATGGTTCAGCGAACATATTTGCAGTTAGTTCTGAGCAACACACATAGTTTTATGCTGTAATTGTAGCCCTGCATTCATTCTGTAGATTGGAGGGTTAAAGGGGTGATTTGGCCAAACCCCCGCCATTATGAATATGCAATATAAATATGATGGCTTGTTATCTGAAACTAGACACTGGCAATCATTTGAAGGTTAAACAACTCTTGTATAAGCCATGGTCTGTTTTAGGATTATGGAATCGTAGTGTGGCCTTCAAATAATACCCTCTGCCAGGGTTTGAATGGCATGCCACAGCAACCTTGCTGGACCTTGAATAGTTTGGTTGACATGCATTGCAACTCCCTGCAGGTAAATTAATGCACAGTTGGCTGGCATGTCTTGCATATAGACTGTGTCTCAAGGAGCTTCTAAGGATATTTGCTTGTTTGACACAATGGCCTCCCAGCTGAATGCACTTGAAAACCATACTGTGATTGGGAGCCCTTTCTGGATTAAGGGTCTGTAGGTGTCATTCAGTGTTTAGATAGAAATTAGGCCTATAATTCCCAGCATGCGCAAGGCTGGCTAGAGGAATTCTGGAAAATAGAACATTTTTGGGTTTTAACACACATAAGATTGCACCCTGAAAATGCTCAGCTGTATGTACTCATAACCCCCATGCTCCATGTATGGAAACAGTTCCTGAATAAGTTTTGTGTTACTAGCTTTTCTGTCATTGTGGTCAGGTACATAAATATTTCCAGCTATAGGCATCTGTTCCATGCTGTAGGCACCTGTTCTTTAACATCCATGCTTCTTTTCTTTAATGTAAGAACAAGACTGTTAAAAGAATAATGCATTAACTTTTTTGAATTTGTACATGAGCTTCTCTGAATGGCAAGAAATATTTCAACTAAGTGAAAAATAATGCAGAAATATCTTACGATAGAAATGTTTACTATAATTCAAATTATTGACCCTTTTTTGCCTATAATATCCTGTATTGTTAGACAAGGAAAATGAGACTCTAGGCTGAAATTCCACCTGAAAGGGATTTCTTATTGGCAAGAATATTACAGATGCTGATGGAGCCAGTGGCACCAAGAGATCCTAGTGAAAAAGAAATCAACAAAACCTTTCATCTCATTCTTTGCAGACCTGAAGGCAAAGATTTCAGTATTCATCGGTTAGTTCTTGGGACCCACACCTCTGATGAACAAAACCACCTTGTGATAGCCAGTGTTCAGCTCCCTAATGATGATGCTCAGTTTGATGCCTCCCATTATGATAGTGAGAAAGGAGGTAAGAGAACAAAATGTGCAATAAGAGTAAGATTCTTTTTAATCCCTCTGGCAACATTTTACCCTAACCCTTGTTGTTAAGTAAACATGCTATGTGAACAGTGTTTGGTCAAGATAAAAATAAGAATCGATAAATGCGCTAATAGAGCTTCTGTTTGCTGAACATGCTTGTTTGGAAGACTGCTGCTCAAAGCACTACAACCTAGCAGATAAATTACTGTTATGTGTTGTCAGGTCATCTGTGACTTATGGCCACCCTATGAGTGAAAACCCTCCATAACGTCCCATCTGTGGCAGCCCCGCCCAGCTCTTCCACATTCAAGTCTGTGGCTTCCCTAATGGAGTCAGTGATGGCTGGATAAATTACTAGTCAATTCAATAAATAATTTTTAGTGGTGTAACTTACTGGAGGCTTTGTTTTAAATATAGTTGTACTATATTTGCTGTAAGGAGAGCCCAAGAGCCCTGCAGGGCTAAAGGCACAGCTTATAATTTATAAGCTTATAATAATATAATTTATAAGCTTATATAATTTATAAGCTTATACTTGTTTTTCGGCGCCAGGTGAAGACCTTGTTATTTAAACATCACTTTAATTGTTAACAATATTTGCTTATTTATCTGGCCAGGGCGACTTCTTTTATATTTTATATTTTTATTTATTTTATATTGTTAATTTTAACTTTATATTGTTATTTTTGTATTTTATTGTGTTTGTAAGCCACCCCGAGGCTTCGGCAAGGGGCAGCATAGAAATATTATTATTATTATTATTATTATTATTATTATTATTATTATTTCAACAAATAAATAATTAAATGTACCTGCCATTTGATACTTATCTTTGTTTTAATGCTTAATGGATTTAAATTGCTTGTGTATGTTATTGTACATTATTTTAATTTTCTAAAATGAAAAGAGGTACAGAAATCAGATAAATATGCTGGTACAAGAGGATACAGTTTGGGGACAGTTAATATAGGACCTCAGCATGTTGGCTATTGCTAATTAAGTATCTGGACAGAGTTGCAAAGCCTAATGCCCCATTGCTTAAAGACCATTTAGAATTCTGTAATGTTTTGTTTCTGTAGTTAAACACTGATACAGCTTTATAGCATTCAAGAGGTGCTTTGCCTTTTATTTCCCCCCTTTTGTTAATGCTCCTTAATGTTCATCAGACAGTTTCTTAATCTGAAAAGCTTTGTTTCCTTGTTTGAATAACACAAACAAGATAGGATACTAGATGTGCCATCTTTATTTTCAGAGTTTGGAGGTTTTGGGTCTGTTAGTGGGAAAATTGAAATTGAAATAAAGATCAACCATGAAGGAGAAGTTAACAGAGCACGCTACATGCCCCAGAATCCATGCATCATTGCCACAAAGACTCCATCCAGTGACGTACTTGTGTTTGATTATACCAAACATCCATCTAAGCCAGGTATTTACCTGTTTTTGTTTTGTTACCTTTAGGTAGTTTAGGAATAAGAAAATAGGCCTTTAATATGGCATGTATGCTGGGAATATATTTTTTTGTTTTGAGCATTTGTTTATTGCTCATATATATGATGTTAACACATCCTTTTTCCCTTTTTGGTGAGGGGTAGTTGCATATTTAATTTAGCTTCAGTAGTTAAATCTGGATCGGGACTGTAAAATGACCATTTGTACAACCAGGTAAATTAATGGTGTTCTAAGTCCGGAGGCTTCTCTGAGCGACTTGGGGAACTTATCAATCTCAGGGTAGGCTGCTGATAAGTTTATTTTTATTTTTTCTTCATGGGGAGGTGTTCTGCCAAGGGACAGAAATGGCCCTTGGGCCTCCTGCAGTTGCCCACCCCAATCTAGGCAACAAGGTTTTCAATTTCTGGTTCCAAGACTGGAGGAAGAGCTACTGTTTTAAGTTTGCTTTTACATTTCTTCTTTCCAGACCCTTCTGGTGAGTGCAATCCAGATCTGCGCCTTCGTGGGCATCAGAAGGAAGGTTATGGGCTATCTTGGAATCCAAACCTTAGTGGACATTTGCTTAGTGCATCTGATGACCATGTGAGTATTATAGTTTTAGTTAGCTCTGTTGTGCATGCATATTATATTTGTCAAGGCAATTATGTCTCCTGTCTGAATGTCTTTTCTTTTCCTTTTTAAGACTATCTGCTTGTGGGACATAAGTGCTGTTCCAAAAGAGGGGAAAGTGGTGGATGCCAAGACCATTTTCACAGGCCATACAGCTGTGGTGGAAGATGTTTCCTGGCATTTGCTCCATGAATCTCTCTTTGGATCTGTTGCTGATGATCAGAAACTCATGATGTAAGCAGAACATTTTTACTCACATTGAATTACTTTGTTTGTTCTTAAAGGGGAGGGGTGCCCTTATTAACAACCACACTTGAAACGAGTGTAGGCTACTTAGTCCATCAATATAGTTTCTCATCCTGAGCCTGTTTCTTCTTAGCTGGGACACCCGGTCAAACAACACTTCCAAGCCAAGCCATTCTGTGGATGCTCACACTGCTGAAGTGAACTGCCTTTCCTTCAATCCTTACAGTGAATTCATCCTGGCTACAGGATCAGCAGATAAGGTATATGTGCAGAATGCCCAGGTAGTCTTGTCTAAACTCATGGTTGCGAGTTAAGGATATTTTTCTTTGAACTGCTATCTTACACTGTTAATTGTGCTGAGTGGCTCTCATATCTGTTAAGTTGATAAAGAATGTACTTGAAAGCATGCAAGTAATGACAGTAATAAAGATTACATTCCATATGAGAAATTAATGCTTTTTAAATTTACTTTAATCTTTCTGGTCAGACTGTTGCTTTGTGGGATCTAAGAAACTTGAAACTGAAACTGCACTCCTTTGAGTCACACAAAGATGAAATATTCCAGGTAAATTCACACGATGGAATGTGATGTGGGTTTTTTGTGATAACATGTTTTGAAATACATGCTTCCAGAATTGGCCTTTATGGGCATTAGAATTCACTATGCAGCCGTCCAATTTGATGCATTCTATGAAGCACTTGTTAAACAGAATTGTTCTTAGTCCTAAAGAAAGGAAATGTAAATAGGTAAGACAATGCATTGTTTTAACCCTTTGGTTTATGACTATGCTCCTTTTTAGTTGTTCCCGGAATTAAAATTTATAATCTTGCTTCCAAAGGAAAACTGATTCAGTGTAGATCTTTGGTTAAAGTCTTCTCTAACTACCTGCTGTCCAGTCTTTTATGTAGCATGCAGAGTTATGTAAGGGAAGGGAGACTAGTATAGTTGGTATTTATGAAAAGTTCTTGCTTTATATGTAAGAATCACAGTGCTAGAAATTAATGGTGGTTAAACATTGTGTCATCTTAATGGATACAGGTTCAGTGGTCGCCACATAATGAAACTATATTGGCTTCCAGTGGTACTGATCGCAGGCTAAACGTCTGGGATTTGAGGTGAGTTCCATATAGTTGCAGTATTGTGTAGGGGTTAAGTTTCACCAGAAATGAATTTTATGTTTCCCAATTTGTTTCAGCAAAATTGGAGAAGAACAGTCCCCTGAAGATGCAGAAGATGGCCCACCTGAGCTGTTGGTAAGGGGAATGTATTGGTCCTGCCATAACTTTTCTTCCTCCTCCCCTATGCAGCTGTGCAAATCTAGATGAAAACTGCTCTCTTTATAAACATTCAGCTTGGTGAGAGGGCGATTGCACACAATGGTTGCTCAGATTCGGGCAAGTCTGAAGGATAAGTCTATTGGCATGCATGTGGCACGGTTTCCCTTCAATGATTCCTGCTCCCCCTTAACCAAGAATGCAAATCTGTCTGGTGAACTTTCTTTCCCATTTCTAAACCGCTTTTCCATTTTGCTGGCACCACTATTTGATGCGTATATGACAATGGAATGGGAAGATGTTTTATTGTTTTTTCTTTTCTCCTCTGATGGTTTCCTGTTAGCTATGAATTACGTCTTGCTATTGTGGGAAAAGAAGGGCAACAGATTTGTTTCTATGGTATGGTTTTATTTAAAGTTTCATAAACCTGAAGTTTATTGTTAGTTACCTTGAGGATATTCCTGACAGACGGCACAAGTGGATGAGTGCATAGCAAAGTGAGAAGGGGAGAAAGTAGAAGTGGAAAATGATGTTGGCTTATGCACCCTTTAGGTAAACTTTTGCTGACATTGATATAATTTTAAAAGTAAAATGGATTATAGTATCATTGTAAAGTTTTATTATTAAAATTGCTTTTAATATTAAAACTGATTTAGAGTGCAGTCCTTGAAGATTGTTGAGTTATATATTGGAAATTCACTGATGTATATTATTGTAATGGTGTTCTCGATGTATGTATTCATCAGTGTTGTGTATTTCAATCAGTGTTCCTTGTTTTCAATGTTAGTTTATTCATGGTGGTCACACTGCAAAGATATCTGACTTCTCATGGAATCCCAATGAACCCTGGGTAATTTGTTCTGTATCAGAAGACAATATTATGCAAGTCTGGCAAATGGTAAGTGCTTAGTTCATTATTTGAGGGGAAAATTGCATCCAAAACTGGCTGTCCAGTAACTACAACAGAGTGAACGTGCTGTTGTTGGGTCAAATTTGTGATCCTTCTTTTGTAGCCATACCTTGCATAAGCAGTGCACACACAAGTGCGTATGTTCTTCTGTAGATGTGTAGACAAGGTCAGAAGCATCTCCTGGTGTAGCACAAGGTGCTCATTGTGACTAAGATTCAGTGCTGCCTCTCAGACCATGCCAGGGGGACTATTACATATCTATTTGGGGAGATTATTATGAATATGTCTAACAAGAGTGCAAAGCTGTTCGTACACTTTGAAATTGCTTGGTGCTTAGTTGAGTGCTGCTGGCGTTGCAGCCATTCGACATTGTCCTTGGTGGGACTGTGTTCACCGATCAAATTAATATTCATAATTACACACTGCTCTCGTTTTACAGGCAGAGAACATATACAATGATGAAGATCCTGAAGGAAGTGTGGACCCAGAAGGGCAAGGGTCCTAGATGCTTGTCCCCCACGTCTTCTTTTTCCTCCTGTTGTCCTCTTCCTGCATTGTTCTCTCAACTTTCCTAAGATCATCCACACTGCTTTTTGAGAGAGACAAATACACCATGCGTTCCACAGCCCATCTGTAGATACTATTCATCAGCCTTGCTACTAATTGAGAAAGTGAACTATTGCTGTTGAAAATTGAGGATTTGACCTGACATGAACTAGTATCACACAGTGGCTTTTTGGTTGGCCATTTTTCTCTTAAATATTAGTTGGCTGAGCTGGTGTACCCACTCTGCTGCCTCTTCTACAGAATAAATTTTCCTTTTAATGTTTTGAATGCAAACTATGCCAGAATTGTTTCAGTGCAAATGTTGGTAAGAGCTCATGTTTTATACTATGAGGAACTTAAGTACAGAGAAGATTCTTTTATTAATATTTTGGTCCTTCTGATATGTTTATGTGCACAGGTCTTTAGGCTTGTGGTTTCACATGCAGGTAATTTCAGTGCAATGTCATCTATTCTCACTTCTAGTTGCTGTCAGTGATTAGAATGATTCCATCTTACCAGGTAATTCCCGTTTTTTGGTTTTTTTTGGCATAACACCTTAGTCCTTCTATCTTATTCTGATGGGGCAACTTAGGATGTGGATACGAGTATGGTAGTAGCTTATAATTGCACATCACTTTGCTCTCTTGTGTTTCTTGAACTGTGTTCTGTTTCACTTCTGTGAACTGTTTTTGTGTTTTAACTTGGGTGATCACCAAGTTGTAAAAGGTGTTTGTTTCCACTGAGTGATAACCATGGATGGCATTGCCAGCTAACCAGAATCTCACTGGCAGATGGCACACATGGGAGCGACTGACATACTCTTTCCCTTGTATCAGTACATCTCTTGTGTGGGTCCATTAGCCCATTTGACTCTTTATGAACCTGAACAAGTGCTACAACTGAAATAAATTTGATTTTCTATGTAGGTTGTGATTTGTCCTTTTTCTTCAACTGAAAATTTCATTTTTTGGAACCAAAGCCTAAGCTTAACTGTCTGGCTTCTAAATTCCTAACCAAGTACGAGTCTGCTGGAGGGAAGGACAGGCAGATATGCTACAAAATGGAAGCTTTGAAAAATGCCACTAGCAAAGAGGGAGGGACTTGAAAGCATGAGCAGAATTTGTAATGTAAACTAGCATATGGGCACTCTGCATCTCAAGGAGGGTGCTGGTACCAGCAGGCTCTCAAGAGCTGTTACTTGCCTCTTACAAGTCTAATTGCACGGTGTCGCCCTGATAACAATCTCAGCATGACACAGGGAAAAGGCACATTGCCGGGAAGTCACATTTGAACACTTGATGAGATGGGAGATCCATAACTAGCCGTTCATTCTCTCTGCACATTTGTTGCTCTCTGTTTCATAAGGCCACTCCTGGATTTGTTTTAGATTGGGATGACCTTTTCCCCTTCATCTGCTCAACTTGTTTTTAATAACCCTCTGAAAGAGTGGTCTGTGACTTATCCTTGGGGAAAAGCCGAGGTCTGCATGGGAGTGAGTGTTACAACATCTCTGATGTTTTTTGGCTTGCCTCTATCCCATGTAGAGGTACGGAAGTGACTACCTTGAAACTAGGGACTAGCTGTTCTTACTGCTTTTATGTGCCTGGGAGGTACAGCAAATGGGGACAGACCTGATTCAAACTCTCTGTGTAGAACAGTGGCGGCTGTATTGGCCTGTAGTTTTAAATTGAGTTTCCAGTCACTTTAGTCTTATTACCAAAGTATAAGCAGTTATTCCTACTTGAAATAGTATTTTAAAAGCTTTCTGGGCATGTGCATGTATACAAACAATTAGAATATAATTTCTATTTTCTATCCATACTGTGTCAAAGCTTTAAAGAATCACATAATCCTGTTTTCAGGTTTTATACAGAAGAACAGCATTAAAGCAACACTGACAAATGTTGTATACAATCTTCTTACAGCATTGTCCATAACATGTTTGTCTGCTCCATTCACATGACAGCTGTCCAGTATAAGTACCAGATTTCAGAAGATCATTCTGCAACTGCATTTAACATAATGTGACACTCAACAGGCTGACCATTGGCAACTACATTGTAGCCAGCTGCAAAGAGCAGTTCTGCCATTTCCAGAAAGGAGACTGCTTTCCTAAGATAGGCATCCATGGTTCAATCGTGATCTTGTTTCGCTTCTGACTTGCAGAGTTGTCCATAGATTTCTAAGCAATCTCTGTGAGGATTGAAGCTGGATTACCAGTGGCTCAGGATAATGTTCCACAAGCAAATCTAAATTTTAAAAAGCTGCATGTTGTGGAATGAGACTAGAAATATTTTAAAAGAGACCGCTTCTTTCAAGACTTGAGTGCAAGAAAAACACCACATGGATTCCCCCCACCAAAAAAGTTGAAACTTTATTTTAAAAATTGCTATGCTGCTGTTAAAAAAATGTACCTGAATGATTTTAATGTAATTGTCAGTTGGCTTATTGGGAAACTGTTAAAATACTTAAATACTGCAGAAGCATAGTTAAATACCAATTCTTGTTGACCACAGAAATGGCTCCTTTCCTAACTGTTCTATAAACGAATAGTATCCTATGACAATGCATCTTGACAGTTTCTCACTGTATGAATTGCATAACTCCTTCCTTTGGTTACTAAGAAAATTTCCTCCCTTTGCTTGTATGAGGTTAGTGATCAAAAAAGTAAATAAAACCTACTTGTAAATGGCTAACTCCTGATGTAAGCTGGCTTTCAGTTCTTCCAATTCTTGATTTTTTCGCTGCTGAAGCTTTACTTCTTTCTTCAGTTCCCTTAGCCTTTCTTCCATTTCTTCTACCTGTTCCTGTGGATGGAAAAGCACTGGCATTCAACTGTCAAAAGATCCTGGAAAGGAAGTCAACCTGCAATTGTTCCTGATTGCCATCAGCTGCACTCAAAGCTAATGTGTATACACAGTTCCAATGGTTATGCAAGACTTCATATTTTGCTGTCAGCAAGGAAATTTCAGGAACAGGCTAAGTCTGATAAAATTCTGTGTCTTCAAAGGTTCCAACTTAATTGTGAACTCTGCTAAAAATAAATTCTGTTTGCCAAGGTAACAGGAAAGCAGGAGAAGTGCATTACAGCTGGTAAAAATTACACAAGGGAATTTGAATAACTTGCTAGTGTCTTTCCATTCTCTGTAATTGTTTGCCTCATCCCCTGACCACAAGAGCCCTTCCTATGCCAGACTGGCTTTGGGGATTGCCCCAGCACACTTCCAGACCTATATGCTGCCACAACAGCTAGGCGGTTTCATGAAAGGGAAATTTCAAAGTTCATGTTAAGAAAGCAGTAGAAAGTAAACTTGCCAGGTCCAGCGCTCCACTAACTACAGCATGGGCTCTTTTGAGAGTGGAACTGTGTGTTTCTTGGACTGAGGCAATGTGCTTTGGCCATAGGTTTATTTGGAATCCTGGCACCTGCGACCTCAGAGTTGGAACTTCAAACGTGGAACCCTGCATCCCTGGAAGGTGGCACGGAAAGAACACTCTTGATACTTGCATGCAATGAATGGAGGTGTCCATATGCAGTTCATATATTACTGTTCTTCTGTTGCAGGACTCAGGCCTGGTACTGAGAAAAGCTCTGGCCCATGTACATCCCATTCATAACTGCATAGCTACTCCTGTTTTGGAAAGCCAAGGATTGCGGGGGGCCTCTAGATCAGGAGTTGGCAGCCCGTGGCTCTGGAGCCGCACGTGGCTCTTGAACCCCTCTGCTGCGGCTCCGTTGCTCAAAACGCACGTCGGCACAGCCGCTGATCTGCTCGAAGCTCCACTCAGGAACACGGCCTAGTTAAGTAAATCAGCTAGTTAAGTAAATCACTACATTCCTCTGCTAAACAAGCTTCCTGCAGGCTCTCATGCTGCTGAAAAGATTCTCTTTGTCCCAATGTAATCTCCATCTGAATGTTAAAAGCTGCGCTTGGGACCTGTCACAATTCACAGACTGTTTATCTGGTACTAAACACATCTATATATCTGGCACAGCTGGGATCTGTGCCCACCCCAAGGCCAACCATGGATAAATAGAAGAAAAGTTTCTGAAGAAAACCAAACATGGGTAGATTGATTTGTTTTTACTGCTGACGAACTTACGTGGTTTGCTGTTTAATACACGCAGCCCTTTAGCACTGACTTTGACTCTTCAGGAAGCTGTTCTATTCAAAATATATGAAAGGAGTTCTACTAGTTTATAATGTAAGATTAAAAATAACAGTTTTAGTGACTGAACAAGAGCTGCAGCTAAATCATTAATGAAGGTATACATAGCATTAAGGTAAAAAACAATATATGCAGTGTTATCTTCATTTTAGATGTCAAAAGGGTTTAGCAGCTCCTGTTTTCTTTTGTGTGGGAAATGGGTCCAAATGGCTCTGAGTGTTAAAGGTTGCAGACCCCTGCTCTAGATGAACGAGTAACAGGCCAGTCCTGTCCATAGAATGTTTCTTGGCTCCCCTGCCATGGCAAACAGTTTTTTGTGTGGGCTCCTGAAAATTCTGATGGTGTATGTCCAAGCGAAACTCAGGGACAGTAAAGGGAGGGGGTGATTTTTCAAGAAAAAATGACCAGCAGTAAGCCTCTAGAATCCTAAACAGAAAAGGAAATAATCTAAGGGAGAAATAAAACTATAGCACTGCTACCCCAGTATCTGTTGCCCTCATACCTCTGTGAGGTATAGACTGCCACTTTAAGAAGGGAGAGACTTGCAGAATTTGGCTCTTGAAAGATCTTGAGGGACAAGTGGTTGGGAAAGGGGTCAGATGCATCCACCTGTGCTTGGCTGTGCCTCAGCTCTCCCAAGTTTGCTCTGTTAATAGGGCACCAATCAGGCATTTTCATATTTTCCAATCTTCTTCTCTTGAAAGAGGTGCCAAAGCCTGGTGCGGATGTTATTGCTGGTGCAGCAGAAAGACCTGAGAGGCTTTTGGTTAGGCTGGAAACCTGGTGTGCCAGTCAGGCTAGGTTATCTACCTGTTGAGAAGCAACTTTCAATTTAAAGGAAGGCTAGTCCTAGCTCAAAAAGTTATTTCCAAACATTGCTGTGTTCCTGGATTGGGTGAAACTTCCAAATAGTATGATGCTTTGCTTCCCATAGTGAGCATCTGGATGTCTCTAGGGAGTTGGCAAGAAAATTCTACTGAACCAGCTGATAATTTACCCCCAAAGAAGTCCCAGTTTTACATCTTGGGAGTAATTCCCCCCAAAGCTGAGTTCTGAATAAATGCATTTATGTTTTAAGAATGTAAAGCTTGTTCCTCAGCTGTATTTTGTAAGAATCTGAATGTGTGACAAAAGATTGCTTAAAGCATATGACAGGCTGAAACGGCCAGGTGCTTTTAGGAACATATTCTACCTTGCTAGTAATTGCTAATTAGCATGGGGGACATGCTGCTCTTGGGGGCTTGTGATATTCAGGCTTGCATGTGGGGTATTCGTTCTCTGAATATTCCTGCGTATGAAAAGCTTACACACAAAATATACTAGGAGAAAAGGTGGTTGCAGCCTAGCCTTTTCTCCAACATGTTAATCTCTTAAATGTTCAAAGAAGTTGAGAGAGAGAGGGAACCAGCCAGACAGGTGCTCTTCCTCACCTGAAGTTGTGCACAGGTGTTGCTTCTTGGTTCTCCTGGGAGTGCCTTCGCTCACAGTTTCTGGGACTTGCACCATGCTCTCACTCAGGAGTCACATGGCCGAGGTTCCCAATGCACTGTCTGCTTGGCACTGGCATGTGCATGGATGCTGCCGCCACCTACCTTCCAGGGTGGCTGCACTCTTCCCCACCTGGCCCTGGATGGCTGTCTCAGGCATGCCCACCCTGAGTGGATGAGGGCCAAGGCTGAACTCAAAAGCAGAGTGCTCCACGGGAGAAGGAACTAAATAGGAGCAGAATAACCAAAATAACCCTAGCCAAGAACATGGCTGGGAAGCTGAAGCAGCTGTGCTTCCTTCCTCCCAGTTCACAACCCCTTTCCTTGAATTTCATGACTTTTTAGACTCTATGCCTGATGGTAGGACTGCTTAATTCCTGATTCCTCTAAGCCACACGGGAAGCTGTTTGACTCAAGAGTAAAATAAACATGCATCGAACAAACAATATTTTAAGCTATTTCTTTTTCACTGGGAAGCTGCCCACCTGCTCCTGCTGCCTTGATCTGTGTGGGCTGCAGCTTCATTTTGTAGTCCACTCAGAAAGCAAACGTGTTGGGTCAGAGGCAGCTTTCCAGCGGGGAAAGAGGGGCGGGCGGGCGGGCGGGCGGGCGGGAGGCAAGCAGGCATTCTCCCAGCCAACCTGTTAGCTTGTCTGGCAATGTGCAAGGGGCAGGTGTGGCCTGGGGCTTGTGGGGGGTGTTGGTGCAGCTGCATGGGATAGGCCAGTGTTTTGCTTCAAGTATGTGTGGGTATTTTGGGTGTCGGCAGTTTGATTTACCTTATGCCTGGTAAATTCATGTTTTAGCATTTGGGACTCAGGCTTGTACTCCATTTCTCGACCAGTTGGCTTCATTCTGAGCCTCTCCAGTTTGCTCTCTGTGAAATGGGCACCGGAGCAGAAAACCGGGTTCAGAAAAGTGCCTTTGTGCTTTGGAACTGCTTTTAACGTAGGTTCTTGGATATGTTATTTTTAGTCTCGCCAGTTTTCCTTCTGGGAAGTGAGTGTTTTGTGATGGGCCGTGCCTACCAGGCCAGTCGCATTGTGAAAGGACAGCTTCCAGTGGAGGCCCATTCTGTGAGGTTTCAAATGCGCCCACCATCTCAAAACTCAGCCACCCCCAAGCACATACCTTGTACTGGAGAACATCTTCATCCCGCTTTTGCTTAATGAGCAAGATCTGTTCCTCTAAATTCCTGTTCTGCAGCTGTAGCTTGCTGACTTCTCCCTGCAGCGGCCTCAGGGCTTCCTTTAGCCTGTGAATCTCACCCTGTGTTTTTCGCAAAGTCTTACTGCTGGCTTCTCTCCTTTCCAAGAGGCGCATCAACTTGGGCTCATACTGTTCTTCCAAGCCCTGGCGGCTCTCTGACAAAAAGCTCTCAAACTCCATGGAGAGCCGCCGGCTTTCCTGGAGGTAGCATCTGTCCCACCGGTGCCTGGGAGCCTCCAACCGCTGCCTGAACTGTTCCTTCTCCCTCTCGCAGTTCTCCCTCAACTGGGACAGTTCCTCTGACAGCTGGATGACCCTGCTTTCCAGTTCTTCCTGGTAGACTGCGCACTGAGCCACATCATGCCGCCTGGCTTCCAGCTGGTACTGGCAGGCCACGCACTCCCGCGTCACCTTGAACAGCTTCCGCTTCATCTGCCGGATCTCCTCCCTGAGGCTGCTCCTTTCGAGCTCGACTCTGGCGTGCAGTCGGTAGGCTTCAAGGATCTCTTCGTGGGCTTGCTTGATTTCCTCAAGAGCTGGTTCCCGCAGGAACATAAGCTGCTGAATGAGCCGGTCCCTCTCCCTTTCTAGCTGTTCTACTGCTTCAATGCATCTCTGAAAACGTTCTCCAAGATCCTCCATGCTTGTCGGTTCGGGCTCTGCGGTATACAATTCCTGGTCCGCCACAGCTTCCTGCAGCTCCGCTGGGGAGCCCGTCACGCCCATGCCTTGCAAGAATGGCACATTGGTGGGGTCCATGTAGTGCATCCCCGAGGGGTCTCCTCCCTCAAGCTCCAAGAATGCTCCTGCATCCCCAGCATAGGATTCCTGGTCTGCCATGGCTTCCTGCAGTTCTGCGGGGAGACCTGTCATTCCTGTATCTTGTGAGAATGGTGCATAGACAGGGTCCACATACAGCATCCCAGAGGAGTCTCCTCCATCGAGTTCCAGGAATGTTCCTGCATCCCCAGCACTGAGCTCCAAAGGGGTTTCCTCATTATCCAGTTCCAGAGAAGGCTCAGAGTCTGCCATCGCTGTCCTGAAAATGAAAAGCAAGTTGTAAATTGAACCTACAAATTGAATCCTGAGCGATGGCGGCTCCAAGTGTAAACAAGCTTTTGGAGAGCAGGTTTGTTGTTCCAACACCAAGTAAATGCTGTAACTCAACCATACAAATGTCAAGTAACCAGAGATGGACCTAAACCAGGCACATTGCTCAGTAACACAGTTTGTTAGAAAGACAGAATTGCATGGCAATTTCTGACAGTTCTAGGAAGATACCTTATGCTCATCAGCTGTGACTGCTCCGAGTTAAGCGTTCTAGATGTCACAATCCCTATTTTCCAATACTAGGTTCCAGGGAGTAGCTGGGAGTTAGACGGCTGGCTGGCACTGCAGTCAAGCACACGACGCACGAAGCATGATGAGAAGAATGAGGTTTGCCCCTAGAATTCCTACCTGGCCACGGGCTCTCCCTGCCTCAGTTTCCATAGCAGGATCCCAGCCCTTCAACTGCTCACCCAGGGAGAAGTGCCCCTCCAGGCTCTCCCGTGGCAAGAGCTGTGCAAAGCCAACCCAGGCGGCATAAGGGCAAGCGTGACATCATCCTAGCAGCCCTGAAGAAACCATTTGCGTTTCATGCTGGGAGAAGAAAGCGATCCGGAAGAGGAATACTGACCCATGCACTGGGGGGTGGGGGTCGCCTAGGAAACCCCTCCCAATGGGGGCCATCAAGAGAAAAGTGGGACAAACCTTCTAAATTTGTGTGCATGCAGCAAATGATACGGACTGCTAGCAGCTGCCACTCACTCGTAAAAGTGGGTTTGGGCCTTAGGAAAAACAGGCCTGATTCCCAGTCTGTGTGTCCTTCCAGGCAGGTGTGTTCTTCGCCAGCAGCAAAATACCACTGTGGCTGGGGAGGCGAAGGGCGTGGACGGCAGCAGCTGTATCTAGAATGAATCCCATCCACAGAAATCCCAGGCCGTCTTGGCAGAGAGTAGGCGTGAGAACACAAGCAGCCACTTATATACTTTATGTTGGTTCCACCATTAACTATTCCATTAACTAACAGTGCTACTTCAGCGCAGGAGTACCAGGAGCCCTCCCACTGGACGCACCCCTGCTTCAAGTCCCCATTTCCCAGGGATGACCCCTCTTTTCCGATATTTGTCCCTGGTAAACCAGTGCCATGCCTTGCTCCACTGTCTTGGTTGAGCCTTAAAGCCAGTGACGGCAAGATGCAATTCCTCCCCACACGCTGCATGCACGCAACTGGGAAATGCACGAGAACTTCGTATTTGCAAGGAACTGAAGCCAGAAGACACTTACCTCTGCTGAGCCATTTCCTCATCTGCTTTGATGGGGGAAGGGAACCTAGAACACGCTGCCTCCTCTCTTCAGCGGCTAGTTTTGCAACTTGGGAACTGCCAGACATTATGAAAATTGCCCCACCTCAAACACAGAATTTTGCAGGTCCCTACATTTTGCACGTGTAACCTTCCTGCAAATTCCCACTGCTATCCCTGTCTTGTTTCTTACAACAGAAAACCCACTAAAGGGGTGATGGGACACCTGCAAGCTGCCTTTTGATGATGGCACCAGGGCCTGCCATGGGAAGTGAGCCAAAGATGCAAACGGCGAGGAGCACAGCACTCCCTCTTCCGGCGACAGAGCTTTCTTACTTCCTGCAGCAGACCTCCTTGCAGAGGAAGGAACTGCAATTGCGTACTCGCCAAGCAGATTGCGCAGTGGGTTTTTGCACTCCATCGCAATGAAGGGGCGGCTTCCCGCGCGCACGCTCCCTCCTCTGCTGAGCTGCTCGCCATGTACGGCGCTTAAGGTGCGCTGTCTCTTGCCCTGAAGCCGAGTGGTTTCCCGCTGAACAGCTGATGGGCAGGAAGGAGCCCAGAGAGCTGCATGAGGTCGTGTCGCAGGCCAAGGTGCCCCACCCTTGCTGTAGCCGACACTTCCTTTAAAAAACGGCAAGCTGCTGAGCTGCTGCTCAAGGTTGCAAGCAGTTACCTCTCTGTGTAGCGAGTGCCTGTATCCTCCAGTGCGCATGGATATAGAGTTAGGTGCATGAAACCAATGCCTTGCCCGCTCATGTGCTGTAGCTCTTGAGAAGTGCCGGTAGCAGGGTGGAAGGGACACTTCAGGAAAGGGCATTGTCTGTGGGGGCGGCTCGACACAGTGTCTCGGGATACAATGTTAACCCTATTTTTACAGCAAAACACCGAGGGTCGTCCTGCACGTGGCAGCCACACTTTGATCCCAGGGGCCCCGACCCCTCGTCCCTGGGGAGCAGGACTACTTCCTGCAAAAGGCGGTGCCATAAGCAGCCTTGTCCCACTGTGACTTCTCAGTGGTTTGTACCCAGTGGGGACAGCAATCCCTGGAGAAATTCTGACATGTGAATGTACTGCACAGGCTGATCTGGGAGGCATGCTACCGAACGGCTTCCACGTGGTCTGAGTAAGGAACAATGAGCAAGGATGTGCATTTATATGGTGCTTCGTATTCTCTTTCTGCAATCCTTTCAACACCCATGTAAGGAAGAGGAAAATTTTAGACAAGCTTGTTGGCCCATCAGAAAAACTGACTATGTCCAATTTCTACATTTATACATACCATTTCTCAGGACAGGTCTGAAGCATCACAAAATACTTTTAGTTAGTCCCAATAAAGTCTTAAAGCATGGTTGCATCTTTAAGCTGGTTGGCATTATTCTCTACATGTTACAAATACTGCGTTCTAAACTAGACATGGTTAGATATCCTGCTTGTTAAAAAATGCACAGTAACTTTAATAGTAGCTGTAGGGATAGATATGCCTCTGCAGGAGACAAATCATATGAGCAACTTAATGGGCTTAATGAGGAAGAACCCTCCCCCCCAACATTGCCTTCCCACTGAACTGAGCCTCTCTCTAGTTGCTACCTTAAACTCCTAAAAAACAGCAGAAAAGTTAATCACAGACCTTCTGCCAGGTGCCTTCTTTGGCCCAGAAAGCGAGTGTGGATTGCTTCAGGCTGCCAAGCATGCCCAGAGACACTCTGAGGTGGAGGGCTCCCAGCATCACCCACCCCAAAGGGCTTGTAACAATTCAGTCTCTTCTTAATGGATTTTTGTGGGATGAAAAAAGACAAAAACGGCAGTGGGAGAGCTACAAGTGGATGATTGTTATTGTTGTAAGCCGCCCCGAGGCTTCGGCGAATGGGGCGGCATAAAAATGTTTTAATAAATAAATAAAAAATGATGGTCATGCACATTGCTCGTGCAATTCTGTGGATGAGACTGCGCCACTGCACAATAGCAGTCTAGTTTGGGAGCACCACAGGGCTGAGGCTAGCTCTGAGCTGGGTGCTTTCCAATTCTGACACCTAGACAACGGTGCCCACCTTAACCGAAAGTAGCAGCTCTTTCTTGAGGCAACCTAAGCAGTAACACCTATGTTCCCAACCTGGCAGCCTCAAGACGTTTTGTACTTGGGTTCCCCATGAAGCCCTGCCTATCCTTGCTAGGGAATTCTGGAACTCGTAGTCTAGTGCAATTGGAGGGCATCAGTTGGAAGAGGCTGCAGTAACTGATTTGATACTGGAATATTAATTTCAGTAGATAAAAGCGATGGACAGCTGCATGAGATGCGTGCTATTTTTCCGTCTTTCCTTCTTGCAGTTAAGCGCCAATGTTGTTGTTAGTCGTGAAGTCGTGTCCGACCCATCGCGACTCCATGGACAACATTCCTCCAGGCCTTCCTGTCCTCCACCATCCCCCGGAATCCACTTATATGGGATTATGGCCCTTATACTACTACGTATATAAGGGCCATGATCCCATATAAAATTAAGTGTGGTTAATGCAGTTTGGTACTGAAACATGAACTAAAACCCACTGGAAGTAAAAGTATGATAAAACAAAACAAAACCTTATCACATTAATGGTTCCTCAAATTATTTCACAGTACCTAATTATACCATAACCATCTGCTTAATCCCAAGAATTTAAGACTGGGTTGGGCTGTCTCTGGAATGCTGCCTTCCTTTTTTCCTTCAACCCCCCCCCCCCATAACTCTCCTCCTCCATGAAGCTCTTCTTGCCTTGTCCTTCCCTTTCTGTGCTAAGAATGCTTCCAATGAACCCTTCATAGCCGGGGATGTGCAAGAAATCTGATGTGGTGGGGAGAATGTGAAGGATCCTGCCTCCATAGTCCTGTGCTGCAGTGGGGTTAAACTAGCCATGGACTTCTGTCACATAGACCACCCTTTGCACATTTTAAGTGTTCTGTTATGCATGAATGACATTCCTCCAGGCTCTCCTGTCCACCACCATCCCCCAGAGTCCACCTATAAGCTCACATCTACTGCTTCAGTGACTCCATCCAGCCACCTCATCCTCTGCCGTCCCCTTCTTTTGCCATCTATTGATCCCAGCATTAGGCTCTTCTCCAGGGAGTCCTTCCTTCTCATTAGGTGGCCAAAGTATTTGAGTTTCATCTTCAGCATCTGGCCTTCTAGAGAGCAGTCAGGGTTGATCTCCTCTAGGACTGACCGGTTCGATCGCCTTGTGGTCCAAGGGACTCGCAGGAGTCTCCTCCAGCACCACAATTCAAAGGCCTCAATCCTTCGGCGTTCAGCCTTCCTTATGGTCCAACTTTCACAGCCATACATTGCAACTGGGAAAACCACAACCTTGACTACACGCACTTTTGCCGACAGGGTGATGTCTCTGCTTTTAGTATGCTGTCTAGATTTGCCACAGCTTTCCACCCAAGAAGCAAGCGTAGATGTTAAGTGAAACTGGTGCAAATAAGCTCCCTGTGAGTGGCTCTAATGGGATGGCAGTTTGTGCAAACCAGCCAATCCTGCACTCATCCGGCAGGTCCCATTTGGCTTTCAGGTGCAAATCTGTGCAAATTCCATTAGCAGCTTGAACACTGCATGTGAATTGCAGCCCATCTGAAAGATAACCCCCCTCCCCACTCAGCTTGCTTCTGACCTTCACTCAGGTCAGGGAATCCACTGAGCTCCAGCAAACTAGGTCTCCCTGTTTAAGTGAGGCCCTATTTATGATGTCATCTTTCTGCTTGTTTGCAGAGGTTTATGTAGCCCAGATGCTTAGCCTCTTCCACACAGCGCCTTATCACTTCTTCCATCTTTTCCCTTAGTTCTGAAAAAGTGCCAAGAAGAAAATGGTGGAACAGCCAGGCAACACTTTTCTGTTGACACCAGGAGCCCTCCAGGGAATAACTGCACCCATCCATATCCCCTCTGCCTCCAGTCCCTCCTCCTTCCAAACTTCATTATGCCTTTTTCTAGACTGTAACCTCTGTGGGGCAGAAGTCTGCTCTCCTATTCTTTGCAACGAACATAGATGCTCATAAGTGTGTTCTAGAAAATATCTGGAGTGACGGGAACTCTGGTAGAGCCATACGGTTTGCAATAGAGGCATAAAGTAAGTATTTTAAAAATGAATCGCATTGCCTGAGTAAGTTGGAGAAACTGGGCTGGAGGTGTTTTTTGCCTGGCTGAAGTAGCAAGGGCCAGTGAGTGGGGCGGGTCTGTTGCTTGAAGTCAGATTGTGGGCTTCACTTTTTAAAAAACTGATAATGCAACCTCTTCTTTATTAACCGAAAAAGCTGGCCCAGCCGTAGATTTCGAGAACAGTGCCCACAAAAAATTTGTGGGCCTCCTCTGCAAGATGGCCGGGGATGTATTAAAATATCGCAGCGGGCAAAGGGGCGGGGGGGGGGGCAAGGGCAGGGCTCCGGTTTCCGAGCAAGTATCGTAGAGTCATGCCTGAATGAAGGCGGTGTGACTTGAGAGCTGCAGCTGTTGCGGCTGCGTGGCGCGCTTTCAGCACGACACTTGACTCGGGCAACGAGCCGCGCGGGGGGGGGGGCGTCAGAGGGGGAGCCCGGGGTCCGGACGGGGCCGCTGGAGCAGGGCGGGGGCTGAACCCCCGCGCGGCAGGGCTTTCGAAAGTCAGCTGGGGCACGTTCCTCTGAGCAGCCGGACTTGAGCGCACGAGGAGCTGCCTCCCTCCGCCCTACTTTGTCTCCCCGCGGGGAGGGCAACGAGCGCCCTCGAAGGAGGCCTGCGGTGAGCCTGCCCAGGGAGGAGCCCCGAATATGCTGGCTCAGGCCGTGATACATGGCCTGCACGCACGCGTGGGATCCGGGGTCCCCCTCCTCCGGGAAGACTGCCGGCGGGCTGGTGCTCCATCTGGGGCTGTGGCCGGGCGGGGCCCCTTCCAGAGGTGGTTCGGAAAGGCTGTCGGAAAGAAACCTTCCCTTCCCTCAAGTTAGGCGGTTCCCCACCTTGCAGGCTGCCCTCCCCCCGCGGCTCGCATGCCCGCCGCCTCCTCGCAGTTGCGCGTGAGGCTTGTGAAGGCGAAGACACGTGCAGATGGCTCGGTGCAACTTCTGAATTAGGACTCGGCGGCGGCTGCCAGTGCTCTTCCTCCAGCAACGGAGGGCGTTCTCCCGGGCACGACGGCTGAGTCGCACTTGGTTCACAGCGACTTCGTGCGACCTCCGCTCTCCCACGCCGTGGCGGCGCAATCTCCCACCCAGGCTGCTC